TACTATTAATTTATAATAATATCTGCATCTTCTATATTTTGTTTTTTTCAAATATCTAATTACTACATTGAGAATGAAGTACATATTTCATTATACTAACACATGAATTAAAGAACAAAAAATAACAGAAAGCTATATTCATATCTGACATAATAATAGAAAAAAAAGGAGAAAAAAAAATATATATATATATATCACCAAAATAAACTAATTATCAAGAAATAAACTTTTTAAATGTAATTGTTCGAGATGTGTTAATGATGAATTATTAAATAATTGTCGAACTAATTCAATATAATCATCATCAAATGGAAGACGACCATTGGTTTGAAATATTTCAGCTGCTTTTTGTAAACGATCACCAAGTGTTATATGAATAATTGATTGTTTTTTTGGTGAAACTTGTTCATCTTGTTCTTGATTATCTACATTATCTTCATCTTCATTAGCTGATGATAAACGACGTTTTTGTGGAGATATTTGTTCATCACGATTAGCTAAAGCTTGTTGACGTCTTGTACGTATAAAATCAGTTTGACTAGTTGATGATGGTATTGATTCATCATCAAGTTCTTTATTATCATTTAAATAAAGTCGTTCATAATCAAGACTATCTATTAATGTATCAACATCATATAATGAATGATGTGGATCATGTATTGTTGTTGTAGTTGGTAATGATGCTACTTCTTTTGTAAATGTACCATCACTAAATGCTAAAAAAAAGAAATAAGATTATTTTTGTACAAAAAGTAAATTTCTATACCAATGGGTTCTTCAGATGTACTTGCTATAGGTGTAAGTGTTTCATCATTAGTGCCAATAATGGGTGATAATGATGGAGATGTTACTAAACGTTCTTGATATAATGAAAGTGCTTTTTGAATATTAGCTAATTTTGGTGGTGGAAGTGGATAAACTTCAATTTGTGTAGCTGTTGATCGAGCAATATCACCAACTGTGCTCATTTTAATTGAACGAAAATAATTAATTGCATTTGTTGGACTAAAATAAATATCTTTTATTTACTAATTCAAATAACAAAGATACTTACCAAACACCACCATAAACTACATGAATAAGAGAATCTAATGGTTTATCACAATCAACTAATGCTGGAAAAATTGGTTCAGGTGGTTTAATTTGAGATGAAATAGTTTCATTGGAATTAAGTGATGGCTAAAGAAATACAAACAAAATTGACACATTACTTATAAAGATTTTTCTTCACATTTCAATATCATCAAACAAATTACAACAGTGCAAAATCTCTAGTCACTAATTAACATAAACAAAGTGACTAAAAGATCATGGACTGATGTAAAAAGCCAAATAGAATATAATATTTATATCAACTAAGGAGTGCAGATTATCTAGTCAGGAATAAAATATAACAACCGGACTCAACAAACTTCACTCCATAGTTGAATAATAATAAGAATATAAGAAAAAATTTTCATTTGAATTACCTCACTCGTTGAAGTATCAGAAAGATTAAGTAATTTTAATGAACGTGTTTTAATTATTTGGTCATTATTATGTAATCCACTTGAACGACGTGTTGATATTAATGATGAATATTTATTTTCATCTTTATTAGGACTTTTTCGTTTTTGTTGTTGTTGTTGTGCATTTGGATCACGACGTAATGGTGATGCAAATAATAGAACTTTAACTTGATCATGAAAAGCTACATGACGTGTATGATCTTGTCGTGGTTTTGTTGGTGATAAACGTTTGAGAATACTTTTCAATGGACGAGATTTAATTAATTCCATATCTGCTGCTGATGGAGGATCAACGATAACTGATGGAATTGTTGTACTAATTTCCTCTGATGATGGTATAATACGTTTTTTTCTTGTATTATTTGTTAAACTTTTACGTGCTGATGTTGATGGACGACGTGAACGACGAAGTTTTTTTGCTATGGATGATTCTTCAGGAATATCATCTTCATTATTATTTACAGGTAGTTGTATAGATGAATTTTCATTTTCTGTAGATGTTGATGAAATTGTTGGTTCCAGAGGAGGAGAAGATGATGATTCAACTGGTGTATTATTTTCTTGTGATGATTGAACTGAAGGTGACGAATCTGCAGTTGACTGTTTCAATAGAGATAAACTATTTTCATTTGTTAATTGTTTATTTCCAGCACTTGTATTTCGAAGTTGATAAGTTGCCATCATATTTTCAATTGTTGGTGAATCCATTGTATACGATAATGATTGTGTATTACTATTATCATCACAAAGTAACGGTATGACATGACGCGCACGTAATTTTTCTTTTTGTTTCTCTGTTAAACCACTACTTGTTGATAACATACGTTTACTAATAATAACTGGAGATTCACCATCATTATCATGATTAATATTATTTGTTATTGGAACAAATATTGGTTCAGTTCTTTCAACCGTTGTCGAACGAATTGTTGGTAAACATGGCGATGAAAAACGTGCTGGCGATGAAGGTGTTGCACGTTTTAAAGGTATACTTGGAGCCATTAATGGTGTTGCTATATCAATTTGTTGAGATAATTGACTTTCATCTGTATTATTTAATAATAAAATTTCACTACCAGCTGTATTACTATTATCATGATCAGCAAGAAAACATGGTAATAATATCTGTTCTTTATCTTTCAGATCACGAAGACATGTTCTAAGTTCATTTGGATAAACAATAAATGTTAAACGTCCAAATGTTTCATTCCAACATTTTCTTGTTTTATTTCTAACTATTGTTTTATTATGTTGAAAACCAATAATTAAAAATGGATAAACAAGTTTTAAAAGTGATGAACCATTTGATGAATCAAATACTGATTGTATTGTTGATAAAATTTTATTTAATATAATATTATCCGATTGTTGTTGTTGTTGTTTATTTGTTGATATTGGCGATGAACTACCTGATGTTGATGTTGAAATTATAAATTGTTCATATGTACTAAGAAATGATTGAATTTGATTTAAATTAGTTAAAATTATTTCCAGTTGTGAACATGTTTTACATATATGAAATAAATCAACAATAAGATCACGTACATATGTAAATACAATTGATTTTGTTTGTTCATTTGATGAGATTTTAGTTGATTTAACTAAACAATAACAAACAAATAACCATTGTATTTTATTTTCATCATTCGACGATGATAATAAACGTTTTATAATTGAATTAATTATAACCGATAATTGTGTATAACAAAGTGTTACTGATGATAATGATGGACGTTTAGAAGCATTTGTTAAATCAATATCACTTAAAGTTTTTAATAAACATTTTATTGTTGTTAATAAAAATCCGAATACACGTTGATTATGTTCATCATTAATAGCTTGTTCAAAAACAAGACTATGTCGAAGTAATTCAGTATAGATATGAATGATTTGTTTACCATCAAGTAATATTAAACGAGATAATGCTTTAAATAATTGTGTCCATAATAATGTATATGAATAATCAAGATGTTGACTATCATTAAATGAAAATGGACGAAGTAATAATTCAATAGTTGTTTCTTGTTGTTGATTTTCGAACTCAATTGAACGTGTATTATTAAGAATATGTATTAAATGTGTTGAACAACGTAACCATATATGCCAGAATAGTGATGGAATTTTTAATGGTTGATGAGATAATTCAAATGAACATTTTAGTAATAATAAACATGTTTGATGACAAAAATTATCATCCGATGTCTTTGATAATGTATCAATTAAATAAGATAAAACATGAAGGTATGTTTGATTATCATCAGTATAACGAATAGAATGTTCTAACATCATATGAAGATATTGATCGGATAGAGTTGTATGAGATGAAATAGATTGATCAGATAATGAAGATTTATCTTCTAAACAAAAAAACGAGAAAGTTCGTTGCTTAATCCGAATATACAGTAGGAAACAAAAGTTTAAGCGAATATATTTTATGCTTTTTTCGATAATGCTAAGTATTTAGATTGAATCCAACTAGTGGTTTTAATAGCTGATGGAGTGCACTATAGAATGCATTGTGCGCGAAGATTCCATAGATGACGTATGTTGAAAACGCCTCTAGTAACCGAATACAGTACTTTTCAATATTATCATCTTATAGAGCATAAAATTCTGAACAAAATGAGGGGTCGCCGCCTCTTCTACGACCTTCCTATAAAAAGTTACAAGCATCACAAAAAAAAGACTTTCTGTAGTCGATTTTCAGCTATTTTTTGAAAAATTTCGCTTTTTGTAATGCTTGTAACTTTTTATAGGAAGGTCGTAGAAGAGGCGGCGACCCCTCATTTAGTTCAGAATTTTATGCTCTATAAGATGATAATATTGAAAAACATATCCAATAAACTTTTACAAGACCTAAAAACTACTGTATTCGGTTACTAGAGGCGTTTTCAACATGCGTCATCGATGGAACCTTCGCGCAAACTGCATTATATAGTGCACTCCGTTAGCTATCAAAACCACTATTTAGATTTAATCTAAATACTTAGCATTATCGAAAAAAGCATAAAAATATGTTCGCTTAAACTTTTGTCGTAGACTGTATTTAACTTACGTGATCGATTCTTTTGTGTAGCTGATAATGTTTTTGTTCTTATACTTGAATCTCTTAATACTGTTTCAATAGCAAGAGGAAATCCTGTTCTTTCAAATGTATCAAATAATTTTAATAAAAATTCTGTTGAAATACGTGAATCAATCCATAATTGTTCAATACGTGTTAAAAGACCAGTATTTATTGCTATACGTTGATTATCATTAATAGAATTATTCGATGTAAATATCTGTGTTAAATGTGTTAAATAACAATTCCAAACAGTTAACCAAAATAAATTTTCTTCATTCGTTGTATTCTCTGATATTTCATCAATGACTGAATCAAATAAATAATTAAGTATCTGATCACCAGCGGTTCTCAAAATACATTCACCATTCGTATTATCATTGAATAAATCATGAAGACATTCTAAACCAATTTTTCGACATTCTGACCACCATGATGTTGTTTTACATGTTACTTGAGTACCAAATGCAAAAGAAAGAAATGGTAAAAGTACATCATCAATATGTGTTGGATATGATGATACTAATATGACCCATGCACGACATTTAGCTATAGATGCTGATTTACTTTTCGATGTATTATCTGGTATAAATGGTGTGAGAAATAATTTTAATAAACGATTATATAATTGTTGTTGATGAGTATCATCATTATTGAGATTTAAATCTGACCGATAGATATGTGACATAAATGAAGCCCATGCAGAAAATGCAGCACCACGTATAGAATAATTAGCAACGATAAAAGCATCTTGTATAACAGCTAACATTTCATTTCCTTTTGTATGTCCACGAGTTAATAGTCGACTGAGAAGTGCAGCTAATGGTTCCCATAGATGAATAGCAAATAGAGCTAATCTTGTATCATCAACATGTTTAACCCATGATTTTAATTGTGTTAGAAAATTCGTTGAAATAACTGATGATGGTGATCGACCTAAGACATCAACAATTTCTTTTGGTAATGGTGTAAAATATTTAACTATTTTTGCAAGTAAATCAATAATTAAATCACCATATATTAAATATGATGTTGAATTAATACGTGATACAATAAAATGTAATATACTAGATAACCATTCGGTTAATGTTAAAGTTAATAAATTCGAACGATATTCAATAAGTACAGTAAGAAATCGTAAAATAGATGTTAATAGTTCATTATTATCATCATATGTTGATAATATATGTTTAATAAATGGTAATAGATCTTGTTTAAATTGTATATCAGTTAATTCTACAAGTAAATTATCATGATTTATTATGAAAGAATCAAGAATGAATAGAAGAATTTTTGAATCAACATTTACTGAATCCGTTAATATATTACAAAGAAGATTAATTAATGATGATCGAAGTGTTGTTATTTGATAACATTGATTATAGATATTTATAAATTGATTTGATGAATGAATATTTGCATGTAGATCATCAAGAATAGTTGATCCATTACTATTTGTTAAGGATGGTGTTGAAACTGCACTAGATGAACGTGTTTTTCGTGCACCTGTCATCACTTGAACAGATACAATCACGATCTTCGACTATGAAAGAGAAAATAAATAGACTGATCAAGTGTAAAGCCATCATACCGGAGAAAAATTTCACACAACAATGGCAGCCATTTAGATGGACATTTCGAAACAATGAACGACCTCCTTTTTGAAACGAAATACAAGTATAGAATAGAGAAGAATAACTATGTATATCTAAAAATTAATAAAGATATTTTCATTTGTCTATCGATGTAATCGTACTTTCCAACAGAATCTTTGTCAATGGAAAAAGAAAAGAAAAGTATTTGCTTCTAATGACATCTATAAATTCTATTTTTTATTTTCATAATAAAAGTAACATGATGAGATATATCATTTATTCGAGTAATTAATAAAGATATTATATAAACTAGAAAAGAACTGTATTATTGATTGATTTTAACTAGTTCTAGTTCTTGAAGTAATGGTGGATTTTCTGGTGATAGACTGAATTTGACTTGAATTGTAGCCTGTTCACCGATGATGTCAAAATGACCACGCAATTGATTTTTTGGAATTAATTTTTTAATATTTAGAATTTTTCCTGCTTCATTAAGTAAATCTTGTGAAGTTTTTTTTCGTAATTCTAATGAATGATCGAGAAAGAAATTTTCGGCAAATATCACTGATAATTCCGAATCTTGTATATTCCAGTTGTTTTCTAATAATAATTTTATTAATTGATTTTTTCGTTCAGTAAGAATTTTTGGAATAGGTAATTGTCGAGATTTTAACTCAGCAAGTGTGACAATTTGTTCTATGATAATTGAATTAATAGTATCTAATTCAGCATAAGTTCCATTAGCAAAGGAAACAAGTCCAATACCATGTTCAGGTAGCATAATCCAATTACTACCAAAACCTGGCAAACCTCCACTATGAGTAATAGCTACTAATCCATCGTTGTCTTTAATCCATGCAAGTCCATAAGCGTAGGCACACATAAATGGGCACGGACGATGTTTATATGTACTAAGTTGTATGAAATTCCAAGGATGATGCATTTCACGTAATGAACTACGTCGTACTAGACCATGATCAGGTTCATTACGTGCTGGCCAAGCTTGTAAATGATATGATATATATTTACTAAAATCTTCAATTGAACTAATTAATCCTCCCATAGCACCATATGCTCCATCATGAAGTAAGTTTTCTTCTGAATAACGTTCACATTCCCAACGATATCCACGAGCTAATAATTCTGATGGAATTTCATTATATTCCCAAAATGTATTTGTCATACCGAGTGGATCTAGAATCTCTCGTTTAATATATTTTTGATAAGACATTTGTGATACAACTGTAATAATTCTACCTAACATTGTATAACCAAGATTTGTATATTCCCAAATAGTACCTGGTGGATTTGATATACTGATTCCTTTTTTTAACATTGCTAGAAATTCATTATCAGGTAAAGCTAATAATCGATCTGCCCATGGATCATCTTCTGGCATACCAGCATGTTGTATTAATAGATGACGAATAGTAATTATTGGTGCATCATTTGTTAACATGTCCGTCATTTTCAATTCAGGAATATATTGTTGAACAGGATCATCCAAACGAAGTTTACCATCATCGCGAAGTTTAACTATAGCCATAGCAGTAAAACTTTTTGTCATTGATGCAATACGAAAGAGTGATTTGCTAGTAGCTGGTATTTTCTGTTGTAAATCAATGTAACCAAAACTATGAGTACTAAGTAATTCTCCATCAACAATAATTCCATAAGCAAGACCTGGAAAATGATTTTTTGTAAATTCATTTTCAAAAAGTTTTTCAACTTGTGGTAAAGCTTGCTTGATTTTTTCTAATCGTTGTTCAACAGTAAATACAGGTGGTTCATATAAATAATTCTTGTTATTAGTTTGTTTGGTGAAATTACCAGTATTGTTCATATCGGATGTCATTTTATTCTGAGTCAAAGAAGAAGAAAACATTTTTAATGAAAGTTAATACCTAGATCTTATGCGACACCTATGAAAGTATATGAAACATTCAATTTCCATCAAATACCATTGTTTCTCATTAGTATATCTGTGATGGTGGTACAATAAATATAGCTACTCAAGCCTGTTAAAAACTACGATGAGAGAGAAGATACTTACTTATTCCAGCTTATTTTGTTTTTAACGAGTTAATTGTAATCTATATAATACAGTAAAAACAATGTTATAATGACCGCCAAATCAAATACTAGTTCCTCATCATTCTTTTCTCTTTCTACGTGATAGACTGTCGCTATTTTATTGTGTGATAAGAAATACAAGCATGTATTATAAACAATAAGAGATTGGTCATGTTGACTTATACCCAATTTTTTTTTGTCTTGTAACGATTTGATATTTACTTATTGTTCTTTTCAAAATCTAGAATTATATCATGCTACTTAATGAAAGAACTTTGAAACTATATTTGTAAACAAAGCATATTGAATGATATGTAGCATTATTGAGGAGATTGCTGAAATTTTACATTGCATCATAATTTTTCGAAACGTATGATAGAATATTACCTTACTGCTACATCATCAAATTTGATTGATAATACACTATTAAATAAATAAGTAAATATTAGTTGTAGTCATGTGTGTCATCATAAATAGTTATTGCACAATTTTTCTGCATTACTCATTGACTGCTATAAAAGGTGAGGTGGAATGTTGCATTTCTTTAATAAATATATTTTTTTCACAACATTGTGTACTGGTGGTAATAGTAAAAATGGCTTCAAATCAGCAACAATATAATGAGCAATTGCAATTGCTTCAACAACGATTTCCAGAAGAATCAAATCATAAATTCTTACGTCTATTGCACAAATATGATGGTGATGTTGATCAGGTATAAAACGTTAAATTCGTGTAGATATATAAATTCGGCCCGCTAACACCTCCTAAGCGGGTGAATGGAGGTTGTCGCTATATATCGACATAAAAAATAGCAAATTCATTTTTTCTAAATTCTTTAAACAGGTCCGTGCATATCTTTTTCAACAAGAATTTCGTAAGAAAAAATTGGATTCACTTGAAACTCGTTTTGGTAGTGCTTTAGCAGCTTTACAACCAACAACTGAACCATTAAAACGTGCATGTCTACTTAAACTTATGGAACGTTTTGATGGTGATGTTAATTATGTTCAAAAATATTTAGCGGCGTGCGAACAAAAAAGAAGTGATAAGACAAATGATTCAAATCAATCTGAGGATACATATCGAAAAGGACTCAAATTAAAATATGCTACTCAATTAGCAGAATTATCTACAGCTGGTATCAATACTCATTGTCCATGTGTACTTAAAAACTTAGAAAAATGTCAAGGTGATGTTAATAAGGTATTGAAAATAATGGAAGTTCATAAAGAAAAAAAAGATAAATTAAATGAACTTGCTACAAAATATGAAAACCAAATTGCACAACTTGAAGCTGATGGTATAAAAATAAAAAATAAACGATATTTAATACAATTATTAGAAAAAGCGAAAGGACAAATCGATATTGTCAAACAACTTTTAGCTGAAAGAAATGAACAAAAACATCAGGTTAATTCATCAACTGAAGAAGATAAAGATAACATATCTTTTTCGAAAAATCGACAAGAACTAAATATTGATGATATCGATACTATTAAACAATTTCGTTCAGCAGGTATACAGGGTAATCCAGTTAAAATTTTATCAGTATTTCATGAATGTAATGATTCGATTGACATGACTATTGCTCGTCTTGAAAAGGAACGAGAACAACGTAAACAACAATCCGAAAAACGTGTTCAAGTAAAATACACATGAATAAAATAATTGTATAAGTAAATCCTTTTTGTTTTAGCAACGTGTCGTACTTGCAGAAATTCATGATGCTTATGTAACAATAAATAATCAACATGATTGGCCTAAGGATATTGAACAAGTTTATTTAGATGGAAATAATATGATGTTTGTTATTGATTCACTTCGTCGTCTTTGTTTAAATCGAAATGGAAAAAAAACTGAACGAGCTATTGCAGATATTGCAGCAGCATGGAATGAACATATGCATATACCAAATGTTGATCTAATTTTTGATTCAACACGTCAATTAGATCAAGTTGGTAGTATTAAAGTTAGCAGTGCTCAACCAGCTTACAAAACAACCGATGATATGCTTATTGAAATTGTTCAACGAACTAATAATCAACATACAATTATTGTAACATCTGATCGTGCTTTAGCTATACAGGTAAATTATCATACTTCATTCTTTCATGGTAATTAATAAGATTTCATTTTTATGAATTTAGTTAAAACACGAAGGATGTCTACTTGTAAAACCTTATGCATGGTTTGCTCATTGTGCAATGATATTAACTCCGGATTTGATTAAACATGAAGAATCAAAAGATATGAGTACAACAAAAAAAACGTATTATGATCTCGATGAACTTGCTCGTCGTATAGCTAAAATCGATGTATAAATCATGTGTATTAGTATAATTTTGTCTTTTTATAATCAAGAACAAAACATATTGACTGTTATTTCTTTTGAAATAAAACATCGCTGAATTAAATCATTAGTTATATCTCTCAATATATTCTACATATAAATGATAAGAGTATATACGTATATATACATACGTTATTTTATATTGAAGGAGTGATTTATCATTTATGTTTTATGAGAAGGATGAAAGGAAGACTTTTCTTTCACATATATCATCGAATGCATTCGAGTGTAACGCGTGACCGTCTAACGCCATGATCAAATGCACATGTATAAAAAAATTGATTGCGTCTGTTGTTTGATTCAATCGGACAACTCACTACTTTTTTTTTACCTTTCGGTTATATGAATATGTCGTCTTAATATCTATAGGCTGTTCTCATCGCCATAGCTCACTGTCGTTTTTCTTTTTCTTTTTGTTCAATCAAACCATAACCATAAGTTTAATCAGACGTTGATAAAAGACAATCGAAGTCGACTGTGTCTCATCAATAGGTGATCACCAATTGAACGATAGTATTGGCAAGAGTAAGTTGTAATTATAGAATATAACAAAATCGAGAATGTCACTTTTTTTGTTGACTATATGAAGTTGATTATATACGAATAGGATTATCATATATTTAGATATATTATTTGATTATATAAACAGATGCCTCCTGCAACTCTACCTAAATCTAATACTCCTATAAGTGCATTATCATCAGTGACAACAAATACTACTACAATGGCTGTTCAAAGTGGTCCTTATACAAAAACTCAATGTATATATGAATTGTTTTTTAGTTGTTTTCTTTATTAAATCTTATTATATTTTTAGTTCAAAGTACAATGGAAGGTTCTCGAACAATAAAAAGTTCAAAAGAAGTTGAACAACTTCTTCGTGATTATCCAGCTGCATTAGAACTTTATCGAACAGGAAAATATAAAGTTAAAGTTAAATGTGAAGCTGATGTTGAACGTGTTATTCTTGTTGAAAAACGATCACCAAAAGCTCCAGCAAATAAAGAAACAACAGCAACAACATCAGATACATCAACAAAAAATACAACAACAAATGAAGCTTCAGAAAATAATCAAACAGTTCCGGATCTTTCAAGTAGTAGAGAACAAAGTAAAGAGACTAGAAAAGATCGAAGTCCAAGACGATCACGTAGTCGTACGCATTCACAAGATCGTGTTGCACCAATAAAATCAATAACAAATGGTGGTAATATTGTTCATACAACAATATCTTCAATTCGTATGACAAGTAATACTCAACCAAAAGTTGATCATCAACGAACACATTCCAAAGAACGTGAAGCTTCTGTAACACCACAACAAAAACAATTTGTTCATGGTCGTAGTCATTCACGTGATAGTCAACATAAGACATCGTATAACAAACAACAACAACAACAACAAGGCAATAAAATAAATAGAGAATATCCAAAAATGTTGGTACCTTTTGTTGGTAATACAAACAATCCAGGAAATCTATGGCAACAACAACGACCTCAACAACCTTATTTTAGTAATCCTTTATTACAACAACAACGATCAGCTTTATATATGGCATCACCATTTATTCAACAACAAAATCCACTCTATCGACAACCTTTTTATTATGGTCAACAACCATCTGCTCCTCATGGTGTCTTTCAACAAGACCAGTAAATTAATATTTCATACTAATTTCAGACATATTTTATATATATTTTATAATTTAGACGACCTCCTTATCCAGCACTAACAATATCAACAGTAGGTAAAGCACCACTTCATCCAAATAATAATTATTCATCATCATCTCGATCCGTATCTAATACTATGGGACTTCCACCATCTTTTCGTACATTTCATTCCAATCAACAGCCACCACAGCAACAACATCCATCTCTTCGTCATATATATCAAACACAAGCACCCGTAGTATCTTTTAATCCTCAATGGGCAAATATAGCAAATCAACCGATAGGTGCCTTAACTAATACTACTAATAATAATAATATGTATGTTAATCAAAAACGAGGTGCAAGAGATCGAGCTCGTAGTGTTGATACAGGTGGTCATCGTAATCTACCAGTTCGTTTATCTAATTTTCAACAACAACAACCACCTGTTCCAGTTATGGAAAATAAATATCATTATCATCATCATCGTCATCGATCACATACAACACATAATGCTGATACAACAGTAACAAATAATAAAGAACAAGCTGTTGTAGCCGTATGAAAATTTTGTTTTTCTATAAAAATAAATTATTGTTATTTTTAGAAAGAACCATCTCATGTAGGTAACGGTGAGAAACTAACCGTTCGTCAACTTAATGGTTTGTTCGTTTTTTTTTCAAAATAATATTTATCGATTTCATTTTTTATATATATAGAAACTTTTATTCAAACAAATCCATCAGGTCGATTACCCTATAGTTCAATACCTGCAGTTTTACAACGTTTTGGTATAACATTAACAGAAAATGATGTAACTTCAGCTGCAAAAGAACTTGGATATAATTGTAGAATATTTTTGTTCCTTGTAATTGATATACAATTCATTTTTGTTCTAGTAAATGAAACAATATCTGCTCGACGTCTTGTTCACATTTTGGTTAAATTAGGTAAAATAACAAAATCAAATCAGCAGCAACATCAACAACAACAACAGCCACAACGACAACCTGTTTCACCATCAATGTTACCTGAAGATCGTGAAGTTACAGATATAATGACACAACATAAAGTAAGTTTTTTTTCTATTTTTTTATGATTAATTATAATATTTCTTTGATTTTTTTTCATTTATAGGCAGCAACTACTCATAACAATTCATCTGATCAACCTAATCAATGGAATTAATATTTTAGACATATAACAATAGGATAATACTATTTATAAATTTCTCTTTTTTCATGTGTGTACGGATGTAGTTTATTTGATAAATATTGAATTAGAAAAAAGAAAACTGCAATATGTATAATAATTTTAGAATAGAAACAAGTATAAATGTTATGTTGGATATTTTAGATTAAGTTTTAATATATAAAACTCGTACAGTTATGTCAAAGGATAGATCTATAATGTATTGAGTATCTTCGAGTATATGAATCAAATCTTTAGAGATCGGTTGATCTCCCTAGATTGTAATCTGTTAGTAAAATATCGCATTTATCAATGTCAAAAGCGTGACTTTTTTTGTTCATAAAAACATTGAGCATCTTTAACAAGCAATCCAATCGACTTCGAGCTAAATGAGAGTATCAAGATTTTATCTCAAAAGATAATATCAGTTAATTATAGTGTGAACTATGAGATTATATGACTAATGACATATATTCGTACTGTATACTAAAAGATGAGTCTATATGTATTGTACATCATCGAAACTGTCTACACAAAACGAGCGAGAATATATAACCCTTGATTTACAAAATACAATAGATGTCAGTTAATAACAGTCGATCGATAGTAAATTCATTCGTTAACTTACTTTTACCATTTTACATCCAATTTCTGAATCAGCTGTACTCTCATGTTGATTCCTTCTTTGCTTTTCGCTTTGGTCGTTCCTCTCTATAAGTTGCTCCACTCAACTTTAAGAAAAATCAAAAATGAAAGTTATTATTGATCGAATTCGATCGACATTACCAGCTGTTAATGATGATATTCTTGGTTATATCAAAGGTCTATAATTTCTTCTATTTGACTTTTCAAAAATAATTATTCTTGTTGTCGTTTTTTTCTTCTGTATAGATATTCTAGAAACAAATAAATCTGATTATATTGATTTTCAAGAAGTTGAAGATGCTTTGAGACCTATTCTCGAAGAAGTTGCTCATAATAAAAAAGAACAAGAAGCAATTACGGATCTTTGTCAATTTGTTGTTGATCAATTACGACTGTAATAGAAAAAAAAATTTAAATAACTTATATATATTTTTTTTTCTTTATTAGAGAAACATTACCTAATGGACATAATTCAACGAATGAACCAAAAAAATTATTAGCACCAGTTTCAATTGGACATTATTCTGGTACAACATATGATGAAATTTCATCAGCTTTATTCAATATGTCTGATAGAACAAATATTAAACCATTAAATGAATCAACAACTGTATCACAGAAAAAACTTGAAAAAGTTGAAGCAAAACTTCGAGAAAAACAAGAAAAACGCGCTCGTGATGTAGTAACAAATGGAGAGAATAAGTATAATAATAAAACAATCTATCTATATATATATATATTATTGTATTTGAAATTTTTAGAGTACAACCAAAACTTGAAGATGCTGTTGTTAGTCAAGCTACTAATAAACGATTACTTGCAGACAATGAAAATACTGATTCAACAAGTAAATCGTAAGTTAAATTTACAAAATTTAAACTAAAATATTCTCAATTATTTATCAATAGATTCGATATTCATATTGATAATTTCGATGTATCTTATGGAAATAAGTAAAATGAATATATTTTGTTTTCAGTTCGTTATTTTCCCTCTATAATAGAATGTTAATTCTTGGTGGTACTCTCGATCTTATCTACGGCCGTCGATATGGTTTTGTTGGACGAAATGGATTGGGTAAATCAACATTACTACGTGTAATGGCGAAGTATGTTCTAATTGAAATTATTAACTATATAGACTAGATCGACTGAGGAAATATAGGCTGAAGTTGAAAAATTTCAACTGATTGTTGCCAACGTTAGCTAGGAGTAAATAATACATTATTTATCTATGAGAATCAAGATCGGTACTGATAAAGATTATTCAGAAGTAATATCTAGATGAATCAGATTACGATTTAGCTATATATCAAAAAATTCTTATGTTCGTATTTATGATAATTAATTATTTAATATATTTTTAGTCGAAATCTTGTACTTCCAGCTCATATCCGGATATTACATGTTGAACAAGAAATTGAAGGTACTGATACAATAGCATTACAAAGTGTTCTTGAATGTGATGAACGACGAAATGCATTATTAACCGAAGAAAAAGAAATAAATAAACGATTACATTTAAGGTAAAATTTGATTTTGTCGTTTTAATAATATTATTTAATTCTTATTATTTTAGTAATGGATCATCGGCAGCGCAAGATAATTTTATATCAAAACGTTTAACAGCAATCTATGCTGAATTAGAAAGTATTGAAGCAGATAAAGCAGAATCAAGAGCAGCAGTAATATTATGTGGTCTTGGTTTTAGTCCACAAATGCAAGGAATGGCTACAAAGTATAAGAATTATTTTTGTTTTTTTGACTTATTTTATCTTGTTATTCTTAAATAGACAATTTTCTGGTGGTTGGAGAATGCGTCTTGCTTTAGCACGAGCACTTTTTTCAAAGTAAATATTTTATATCTTATAATTACAAATATTATTTTCTATATGATATTTCTTTAGACCAGATCTTCTATTACTCGATGAACCGACAAACATGTTAGATTTAAAAGCCATTATTTGGTTAGAAAATTATTTACAAACATGGAAAAGTACGATATTAGTTGTTTCTCACGATCGAACATTTCTCAATACTGTTGCAACTGATATTTTACATTTAAATGCACAAAAAGTTGATTCATATCGGTATTTATACGAAATGAAGCTTAATGTTTCTTTATAATTTCTTTTTTTTCTATGTAGAGGAAATTATGATACATTTGTGTCTGCTCGATCAGAACGTCTTAAAAATCAACAACGTGAATATGAAGCACAAAAAGAATATCGAGATCATATTCAGGTTTGTTTCACTAGTCCAGATAATGAATTCAACCTATTCGATTTTTCCTTATAGGTATTTATTGATCGTTTTCGTTATAACGCTAATCGTGCTGCACAAGTACAAAGTAAACTTAAATTAATAGAAAAACTGTAAGTTTAATTAGTAGTTATTTTCCTTTATAAATAAAATTTTGTATTTCATCAGACCAATTCTTCGACCTGTTGATAAAGAACTTGAAGTTCACTTTAAATTTCCTGATCCTGAACCATTACATGGAACAATATTGCAATTAGATGAAGTTGCATTTGCTTATTCAAAAAATAGTCCATTGCTATTAAATAATATCAATTTATCAGCTAATCTTTCATCACGTATTTGTATTATGGGTGAAAATGGATCAGGTACAACAAGAGGTTTCATTTTTTTGTTTTGAAATTCTCGTTTTTATTTTCTAAGGCAAAACAACTTTATTGAAATTATTAGTTGAAGAATTAGAACCACTAAAAGGTCAACGACATGGTCATAGAAATTTAGCACTTGGTTATTTTACACAACATTTTGTTGATCAATTACCAATGAATGTTAATTGTGTTGAAGTATTACAAGCGAGATTTCCAGGTAAACCTATTGAACAGTATCGAACTGAACTTGGTCGTTTTGGTATTACCGGTGATACAGCACTACAATCAGTAATGAGTTTATCCGGAGGACAAAAATGTCGTGTTGCATTTAGTTTAATGTGTATGAAAAAGTATGAAAAATAGTTTTCTTTTCTTTTTTTTACATAGAAATATAATTTCGAATTTTTAGTCCACATATTCTTATACTTGATGAACCGACAAATCATCTTGGTAAGTTTTTCAAAAATAAAAGAAATTGTTTTATTATTCTTTTGCTTAATAGATATGGAAACTATTGAAGCATTAGCTGATGCAATAAAGAAATTTCAAGGCGGTGTTGTACTTGTATCTCACGATGAATTACTTATTAAACGTGTTTGTACGGAAGCTTGGCTATGTCGTAATGGTAGTGTTACTGCACTTGAATATGGTTTTGAACAGTATAAGAAATTAATCGAAAGTGAATTACAGTATTAATAAATCGATCAACCGTTTATTTGTTATTTATTTTTCGTTTGAATCAATAAAAAAAAAGAGAAGAATCGCCCGGAACATATCTAAGAAACTTTTATATCTATATTCAATGCTAGTGCATTTAGTTTCATATCATTAAGACTTATCGTTTGAAATATTTTATTATTGAACTGAAAGAATTGATTTACATTGAAATATGAAAAGAATAAAGAATCTAGATTTGATGATTTACAAACACATGCATTAATTAACTTGTGTCAACTAAATATTAAAATCATTGTAAAGCTTGTTTTTCTTAGTAAATAAAAAAAAGAAAAAATGCCAAATAATGTTATAGAAGCAGCAATTCATACAAATAAAAGTACAGCAAATAAAAATAAATGAGAAAATGTCAGAATTTTGATGAAGTTACAGATGATGGTGGTGGTTGTCCTGTAAGTGTACCAATCTAAATGAGATAAATTGATGAGTTTATAATCAAAAAACACAAAATTAAATTTACTTCTTTTATAACAAGTTTCTTTTTTGTTAAACACATATCAGCTTTTCTTGTGTCATGTCGTTGATGATATTCACGTGCTTCTTGATCATAATAATCAATTAATTCTTCAAGACCATGAATATGTTCTATAATATAGAATAGATAAAAAAAACACGTTAACAAAACAAAGAAGAATATACCTTTTAGAACCGGTTTTCCTCCATTACGTAAAGAATTAACTAATTGATCAGATTGTTCTTCGATTTTTCGAAGTTTTGTTTGCAATTGATGAAGTTGATCCGGATCAAGACGATCTCGAAGTTGTTCAATCTATTTTTCAGATAAAATAAAATATTTAAATCAATTTTCGAAAATAAACCTGTTGTTGAAGAAGTGATGCTTCATAATTAAGAACTTGAACACTTTGTGGACTTGTTGTTACTGGTACGGCTGTTGGTTCATGAGTTCGTCGTTGTTTATGACGATCCGCTTTAGATAAATTCGATTGACTGCACAATAATAAAGAAATCAAATGCGAGAAATATAAATAAAAGCAATATACAAATAACACGGGGTGAACAACATGCGGGTATGCGTAACAAATCAATAGGCGAAGACAGTATTCTATTTCTGAAGTTCTAACACAAAATACCTGCTATCTACTACTTCATTATGAGTTTTATTTTCGGCCATATTTATGGCCAATTGGCCAAATGCTTCACCTGTAGGTACAATACGAGCAATAGTAGTAATTGCCGGTGCTGCTGATCTGAATTATGTGTGTGTTAATAGAAAAACTATCGGTTATTATATTATTCTTGAACAATAAATATATATCTATTCAACTTTTTAGAGTTAACGTACCTTGATGTCGATGATGATGACTTGGCATTTTGAGACTATAAAAAAGTATTCTATTAAAGTGTCGAAAATAAATAATATGATACTTACAACTTCTTCAAAACGATCAATAACAAGCCATCGTTGTGGTAATATATCTGAAGCTTTTGTTTGTCCTAATGCTTCTTTAATACGTAGTTTAACTTCTAATTTTCCTTCAACTTTTTTCTTATGTTCAGCTTCGTATAAATCAAGTGATTCATGTAGTGTACATGTTTGTTCTAAAGAAGCTAATTTAATTGATGCTACACCTAACGGACGATCTGATCGAAGAAAACCAGGTTTATAAAAAACAGCTAATTTTAATTCTTTTCGGTTCATCAGACGTTTAAATTTTGCATCATTTCGTTTTATAAAAAATTTATGTGTTGACTCAGGAAATTCAGCATTTGTCGATCCAACAGCATGACGAGTTTTAGCTACTTGAGGTGTTTCAGTTGGATAAGGAAATTCAATAGTAACATAAGTTTCAAGTGCTGATGATGATATACCAGCAGGAACTGGTAAATTAATACCACGAAGAACAATAACCTGAAAGCAAAAAAATATATTTATATTATTCTATCATGAAATCTTCTTAGAAATATTTACTTCAAGATCATTGTCTCCTAAATCATTATTAGTTTGAACAATATTCATTTGTCTTCTTTCATAATGAAATAGTGGTGGTTTTAAACCATGTTGAAAACATTTTCGTAATTTTTCCAAATCATGTGCACAACGTTGTTCAAGTTGTTTATATTCATTAGCTTGTCTGATACTATTTGCTCCATCCATTTGTGCATAAATTTGTTCATTCCGTGCACATAATTGAATTTGTCGAAGAAGATCCTCTTGTAAACGACGATAAATTGTATCTCGATCTGCATGAGCTAAATCTTGTGGTAAATCATCATCATTAATCATATCACTATCATCATCAGGTAATACAGGCACCTAAGATTATATTTATATGTCTATTTAAAACAAATAAACATAAGAACAAATCTCATACTTGACTCATATCAACAGGTAAACCTGATTCAGCAGCTGCTATCATTTGTTCAAGTCCTTTATATGCAATAAGAAATTTTTTTGCCGTATCAAGATCACCTATAATTATATATTCGATGTATAAAGAATATATAGAATTACTAGTTATACCTTGTTGTTTAGCTTGTATAGCAAGTTTATGAAATTTTTCTTGTTTAAGACGAAGTGTTTGTGCTTGTTGACTTTTTCTTGCGGCTACGAAAATTGAAATTAAGATAAATAGAATGAAAAAATATAATTTACTTGTTGAACTACTAGATGCAGTTAATGGAACTGGCCGTTGTTGTTGTGTTTGAGATGGTCTTGGTTGCGCATTTGATGGTGTTTGTTTTACTCCTGAACTAGACGAAGACGATCCAGTTGGTTGAGGTTGTGATTGTTGAACAGGAATAGGTGCAAAACCAGGTAGCTCTGGTAATCCATTGTAATCATATGCACGACCTTTTCGTGTAGCATCTATAGCTTCTTCATATTGCTGTTAATAAAAAAAAATATTTTTTCTTAATTCAAATTGATGTTTACTTATCTCGGAGAAATTTTATAAATTCATTCTCCGATTAACTATGTATAGAGCATAAGAAGAAAAATTTACTTTTGAAAGTCGTTCCATTCGTCTTGCTTTTGAACTATCACCTTTAACAGCTGCTTCTTCACCTCGTTTTGATAATTCTTCATGTCGTTGTTGTAATGCTTCCATAACTGTATGAGGTTCAGGTGCTTTTACTAAATATAAAAATCAATTTTAGACCGTAGCAAAAAAAACGTTAGTACAAACATGGCATAGGTGGTGGTGGAGCATCATCGTCAGGTACATTATCATAACTTTCCCTATCTGCAGAAGGAGCAGTTGTCATAGATTTACCCTGTAATTCCTATTTATAAAGATAAAAACTAATCAATATCGTAGAATACAATATATACCCTTAATTGAAGAATGTATTCTTTAGCTTTAGTCATATCCCCTTGTTGTTTAGCTTGTAAAGCTAACATTTTAAGTCGAGTAATTGCTGGATCAGCATTTGTTGTAGTAGGATTTGCTTGTGCTTAGAATAGATTTAAATATGTTATTCTAATATAATCAAACTTGATAGTAACTTACGTCTGAATACAACTGAATTATCTGCTGCAGGAACAGTTGCTGTAGGTTTTGGTAAAGGTATACTACGCGGATGTGACGTGGGTGCCATAGGTACATCACGCGAGTGTGATGCGGTTGATGACGGTGGTGGTTGTGGTTGTGATGTAGGTACAACACGTGGTTGCGGTTGTGACGTAGGTACAGCGCGTGATTGCGGTACAGTTGGTGGTGGTGGTTGAGGAGGAGGAGTTTGCATAGGTACTGGTGCTGCTTGACCACCAATGAATACTTCAGGTGGAATATCACTATCATTTACCGGTGCACCGGCACGAGCTGATTGAAGTAATTCTTGAATAGTCTAAATAGAAATTAAAAAATTAAAAAAAAAATATTCAATCGAATATAAAATCTATATACTTTAAGTTGTCGTTCTAAACGTCTAGCTTTTGCACCATCACCACTTGCTTTTGCTGCTGCTGATGCTTTAACATACATTTCTTGACGTGTTTCAAGTAAAGATAATATATTGCCACTAGATTTTACTTGTGTTTGTTGCGCTGGAGCATGTGATTCACTTTCAATGTCATCTGTAATTTCATTTAGTTCAGCCTATAAAAATTTGACAATTTCAAAAAACATATCTCCTATGTAAACTTACTAAAAGTTCATCTTCATCAACATCAGATAATTCATCATCATTTATAGGTTTATCAATATCCTGGAGAAGTTTACCTACATGATTATGAAATGACTGAAGATCTTGTGGTGCTCCACCTTAATAAATATGAAAAGTATTTAATTACTTAGTAATATCATACTTTAACAAACCTGCTTTTTGATTATTAGCCTTCGATCGTTGATTACCCCCGGAACCCTGTTGTAATCTTTGCAATTCAGCTTCAAGATCATCATCGTCATCATCATCATCACCACCTCCCATACCTGATTCATCATAATTTGGCATTTGAAAACCCATCTATAGTAAAGAATTACGTGTTTAGATAATGAAAATATCAAAAATAAAATGTATTAACCTGTTTCATCATAGCAGCACCACCACCAGGTTTTCTTGCTGGTTTACTAGGCTTACTACTTTTGAACATTCTCGGAATATAGTAGAAATGAAAATGAATAAAAAATCAATGAATAATATTTGAGTTGTGTAAGGAAACTTTATGACTCAAGCTCTGTTGATTGGTTTGTAGAATATAACCAATCTATTTCTCGGCAAGTCGCCACCTTCGATTACTTTGAGAGAGATAACAGAAAATTGACAGCGAACTCATCTTAAATATAATTTATCATACGATATCTTGAATTCATTTTGAAAGAAAAGGTTTTTTTTAAATATATATATTTACTATTCTGAACTAATTTCATTTTAATTGTATGGACAAGACTCTAGGCATACCGAATATTAGTTAATTAAAATTTCTATCTATTTAAAGTAACATTGAATATATTCAAGCTATTTATTATCCAGTACTCTAAGCCGCCGGATTAGCACTTCAATAGTCTTCTTCCAGATATGATGAGATAAGCTTGGATGAACAAAATTTTAATATTCACTACTATTTAAAGATTTTTATAACTACATATAGTATCAATTGATTTATCCTTCTTTCACTTCATTGTTTTTCATATTTTTATTTTGCTCATTTTCATGAATAGTGTATATATGTAGGATTTTTGATCGTTGCAACAAAGAAATATGTTAAAATATTTGTACTTAAGATTATTAGCAGAGTGAATAGGATTTGTAGAGGAAAAAGTTTCTATCTGAATTCAGTTGTTCAAATATGTTTGATCTTAGATCTAAATTTTATTCCTAATACTGTTAATAAACGTTTCCTCTATGGAAATAAGCCGTTATTTTTTTTCACTCATTTGACTTCGAGTTATTCTCGAGTTTTATCTGAAACAGGAGTCGTCAGATTCAACATTTTTTTCAATTGAAATTTTTGTGTACTCCGATGGGTTTGAAAGAACATAATGTCAATATTCAGGCAATTTTAACATTATTAATTTTCCAAATAAAACTTCATCGAACATCTGTCATAAAATAATGTCGATCGTATCTTTCTTATTTTTATTAATATTTCATTGAAAATAGAAAACTAGGAATTCTATTAGTTTCTATTGTAGTTAACTTTGAATTTGTATGAAACTATGTGGGAAATTCTTATTGTGTTCTTATCAAAAAAGTAATCATTAAGTAATTCAATCCTTCAATTAGTCGTAGATATAGAAAGTGTTAAATATTTATAAAAAATATTCACGTCTGAAATCACCCGTGTCAATTACAGCATGAATTGGAAGATTCTTAATTATAATTATATATTTAACATCCTTTAAAGGATGGCCTATGATGTCAAAATAATTGTATGTACTATATACCCTCTATGTTTGAAACTCGTGACTAAGATGTGGCGTGTATTGTCGGCCGATATTTTACCTATCTTCATCCACTATTCATTCTATAAGTTTTTGTTTCAGGTGTATTATTGTAACTGTTGATTCAGTCATAGACATTCCTGTCTAAATTATGTTACTTATTATTGTCATTTAGATGAGATCAAGCATTCTTCATTTTAGTTGCAATTATTTTGGTTCGTTAACTATACTTTGTTAATAATGAATAGAATTAACAAATATAATAACCACTGACTCATTCAGGTCACTTTTGTCATTGTACTATTTATGTAAATAAAAATAGATTCTTGGGTACTACTAAGTCATTAACCATATAATAAATGTAATAATGACATGTCTCAGCTGTGCCGATATTGCTTTTCTAAAACATAATTATCAGAATGTAACCTATTTTCTCCAATAAATGCCAGACACATGTAAAACTAAACCCAAAAACCTTATTTCTCATTATATGAATATCAAATAGTATCATCTTGTATCAACAATCATGAAAGATTTCGTAAAATGTATACAACCTATTCAAATAAAAAGACATACATACTATACTTTTAAATCTATTGTAAAAAATGTATGAATACAAGAATAAACTTTATATTACAAACATACATTGCTCTTCAATATAATAAATAAACCGGGTATATTCAGATATCAAGTGAACAGCTGATTTCGAAGTATTTAAGCCGTATAGAGTCAATGAGGTGACTCGTATTGATCTGAAATGATTCAATATTACTTGACATTCAAACAGAATTAGTGTCAAACATCAAATTTATTTTATTAGAAGCAAATACGGGCTCTAATGACTACATTAGACTTTTTGAATTTTGGCCTATATCATATACAAACTATGGAATCATTAACCATTTCGAAACAGATGTCTATTATAATCGCCTTCCCTCACAAAACGCTTCAGATATCTAGACACATATTATTCTCTATTATTATGGTAATAGCTATTAGTTGCGGTAGCTATACAGATGACTGTGTCTATGTAATAACCATACGGAGAAAGTAAATGAAGTTCGATAAAACAAAGACTAATTGAATTGAAGTGTTACAATTCTGTTGAAAAGAATCTCGTTTTGAAAAAGTTAGAGTACGCTGTTTTCCTTTTAATGCATTTCCTGATAGACATTCTTATTAATTCTCATTTCAATTCATAGAAAGCGTATATTATCGATTAATTTGACTACTATTTTGCAGTGAACTTCAAAATTTTATTTATTTATACTGGAAAATAAAAAATTCCTTGTATAAAGACGTTTATATTTACAATTTTTTTCATTTGACTTAGGTAGACAAATAAAACTTTGATTTCTATTTGTTTTAAAACAAGATTTTACAGGCATACATCTGTTTCTTTATTTAATAAGTACATTTTAGAATTTCTAGATAGGGATTCCATTGAAAGAATTTGATAACATTTAAAAAAGAATAAATACAAACAAAAAAAAAGTAATTAGTAGGTTTCCTTTCATGTCTAGACTTTAAGATGTTTTACTGAATAAAATTCCGGGACGATTATTTTCTTGAGTTATCTGAGGACATTTAATAATATTAAAAAACATTTTTATTTATTCTTTGGCTTCGTCTATAAACATAAAAATATATTTGCCTTCTCAAGGATTTTTAATGCTCAAGTATTATTTAATCTTATTTTCTTTTCCTTGAAATTTCACGAGACTTTATTTGATCAACATAAATCTGTTGTAATATTAATAATGACCCGAACAAAAACATTCAACTTTTTTTTTTTGAAACAAATCTCGATTAAAAAACACAAAAAAATTGATTATATATTCAAAGTTGTTTCAAAAAGTCCAGCAAGTTGACCTTGATCATCTCTATTACGTATTACATCCACAATTTCAGCTTCAATATTTTGCCTACGAAGAAAATGTTGAATAAATCTGACTGAATATATAACAGTTTCATAATATCCTAATCTGTATATCGCATATTTCCAAAACACCGTTAAATAATAATTTTGAGCTAAAATAAGTTCTTTAGGAAATGGATGAAAATCAATCGGATTATATGTTTCTTTGCCAAATAATGGGGATGTTCGTGATGATAAAGCAAGTATAATTAGAAATGTTTTTATAATAAGTGGATCGTACGGTAAAAATGTTTCGAATACATTTAAATGTTCGTCTGCACGTTTAAGAAGATTTTCTGTAATAACAGTTTCAAATAGACATCGATCATTTTCCCATGGTGCATTCTTTAATACATTTGATTTCATTAATTCACTTGTATTTATAGTTAATAATGTTGAGAAATTATCTTTTATATATTCATAATTATTTCCTGTTGATGGATTACATTGAAGAATACGTTTTATAAACGAAATAAGAACGGTAATATATTTAAGTTTAATAGCAACTAAACGTTGTAATTTAATACGTGAACGATATGGTTGTGTTGCTATTGAAAGTGGAATTTTTTGATGAGAAGCAAGAAATTGTTCAATACAATAATCTTCATATGCATTACGAATATTTGTTAATAAATTCCAATCCGTAAATAATAAAACTCTTTGATTATCGGGTGGTGAAATATTCATCTAAAAATGACATTAAGTTGTTCATGAAATAGGAAATAGTTTTCTTTTTTTCAATAGATAAACTTACAGTTGTTAAACTTGATGGTTGTTGTTCATGATGATGTCTATTTATGATTGTACCCGGTGTGGCCTGATTAATAGCTACTAAACTACGAATTAATTCTTTTTTCATTCCTTGTTGAAAGCATTTATTAAGACGACAAGCCGAACAATGTCGTCTCGTTAATATTGTTATTTCACAGGAACCTGATATTCGACATGTAAAACGAATCTAAGAAATTTAATAATTAATTTTAACAAAAAAAAAGATACACTATTATTAACTTACATGGTCATTGTATGCATTTCGACGAAAAAATGCTAAAAAATAAGATATTTTTTTTTCAAAAAAAAAAAATGTATCAACATGAAACATATTACGGGAAATATGAACTTTTATAGGGCAAGTAATTAAAATATTCACTTTAAACTTTATACTGAATATTAGAAAGTAAATTACCTTTACAAGATAAACAGGTATATGCATCGAAATTCCGTCCTATAAAATAAAATTCAAGTGAAATTAACGAAAGAATTAAATGTATTTATACCGATAGCTGGTGCTCCACAAACAACGCATAACGCACGTGACTCCAACATCATACACGTGACCGGTTTGGTGAATGAAGGCGATGAGCCACTTTCCATGTAACTATGTAATATAAAATAATTTTTCTTCTTTAACATAACGTACAACCCGTCTTTTTTTTCTTTAGACGCAGCCGTCAATGCGCACGTGACCGTACTCCTCAGGTACTTCGATGACGCTATATTTTTCTTCTTTTTTTTTCTTCGTCTTTTCTATTTATTCACTAATAAGAACTTATGCACTTGATTTAATATCTATAACAGTATGATAAATAAAATACTTTAATTTCTTTTCTCTCTTTCTCTTTCTGTCTTAATCTATATCAGAATCGTAAATGTCTTAATTCATCTAACCAATATATTTTACCTCTACGATGGAAAAAAAAATCAAAAATCTACCTTTTCAAAGTCAGCTGTTTACCTTAATTTTAATTACGATACAAGAATTTTTTCTCTAAACATCTTTTTCTAATTATATACTACAACATCCATCTGTTCTAATGCAAAGAGATATTTCTAAGCTTTCTAAAGCTCTTGTTTCACGTAGAAAAAGAAATTATGTCTAAAGAAAATTTATTTTTGCACCGAATGTTTTTTTGACCCCGCTTACTTGTCTTCTAAAGAATGAAAAAAAAACGACTGAATGTAGATGTCTGCGCATTTATCAAGGTGAATATTTTGTATACACTCATTTGATTACAATAATACTTTAAAATTAAATGTTTGTTATATCACTAATTCTAGGTTTTATAATATAAGGTTATTAAACTATCGTAAAAACAAACCATAAATTATATATTATATTTCAAAAGATCGTTAGTTCCAATGAAAAAATTAGCAATACACCATAACGGAATTGTTGAAGGTTTAAAAAAACATCTAATCTTTCTTTTTTGTACTTACCTGAACTTGAAAACTCCGAAGAAAATAATTAATCTAAAAAAAATTTACGTGTTTATTTTATGACGACAGTCTCAGAACTAAATGCATGTGAGAATAGGCTCACTAAAGCATGACAAATAATAAAAATCGTCCTTAATTAAGTACATTATTGTTATCCAGTTTATAAAAATAGATAGCGAAATTATTTAATGTAATCATCTGTTAAAACAACATTATTTTAAAAGGATATTCATTTCATTAACATTCATTATATTAATTTAAAGATTGATAAAATAAAATGGTTTTATTATATTTTGTCTATACATACGACCTTAAAAAAAATTATTTTTTTATTTAATAAATCTAAAGACAAGACTGAAGTCTTATAAGAGATTTAATTGAATATAAATATTATTAATCTGTTCATTTTCATTTCATAGAGTTATAATTCATCATTAAAAAGCTTTTACTTTATAAATATATGAATAACTAACATCTGTTGACCACATAAGTAATTATTTTTGTATTATAACCTAAGATCTTATTATATGAAAGACTATATTTCAGCAATTTATTCAATAAATACAGTTGCTTCGATAAAACCAACGCAAAAAATTATTTTTTTTGTTTTTTCTACTACAAAAAATAAATAAGATTTTAATTACTAAAATGAATCTGGGTCAAAAATCTAGTATAATAAAACGATTTCAAAGGAAGAAAAAGAACCGATCTTCTAGCACTACACAGACAGCATACGCCTATAAGTATTGTACTTTTTATCTTATTAAAAATCCATTAGACAACATTAATACGGTATGATTACCTGGCAGGTATTATGCACATAGACATCTTTACAAACTAATAAAACCTTAAAAAAAGAATAAATTCTAGTTCAAATAATTAAATGACAATATAATTTTACCCGAATAGATTTACAATGAATAATAATCTTGATTTCTTTTAATTTTATAATATTTCGTTATTCAATATTGATTGTTTAGAATGGCAACCAAGTCTATCATCTGTAATTCTGCAAGAATCTGAAGCAACTCCCAGTGAATATATCTTTGAATTACACTTAAATCAGTGAAATTTACAATAATTATATTAGTTTTTGTTCTTCTATTTCTATAAAATTTTACACACGAGAACTTTTTAATTATATGAATGATGTGCGACTTTTCACATACATTCTGAAAATTTGTTCTATATCATGCTTTAACTATTTTAATGATGCATATGAATATGAACAATGATTTTTTTTTAACAACAGAATTTAGCATGAAAAAGACAAATATGTTTCAAACTAAATAATTACCAATGAAGCTGAATTAACTACTCATAAAATAATTTTCTTATCGAAAGAATTTCAAATCATTATTCTGAATTATCGATTAGCATTGTAAATGAATGTCACCCAACAAAAATTTCCATAATAAACAGCAAAATAACGGATGTATTGGCATTATAAAAGCTTATAGAATTGTAATTTTTTTCTGATTTGGTAGTATCTGTCTTACTATCATCGTTTATATGATTTATTATCGGAACAGCAACATAAACATTTCTTGAAAACAAGTGTTATATGTCATAGATAAGCAAAACAACGATTCTATTGCTCGTAAAAAAAGAGTCGGACATGTGTAATATAAACTTATGATAGGTCTCTTATTATACATTTAATACAAAATATGATCGATTTTTATGATGGAAATATCGCGGAGCTTATTTGTCTGGTATGTCTTTGTATTTTGCATATTTATTAGAAAGTAGCGAAGAAATTTTTTCAGGTTAATTATTATTTGATATATCTTTGTCACCATCTATAAATATTTGATAGGATAGGTAATATTGAAATAATATTTTTAATCTTAGATGTAGATAATAAAATAATTTTGATTTCTCTGAGAACAATAACAGATGTCATTTGAAATACAAATTTTACGATATGTAAATCAAATGATTATAGAATAAGAATCTTATGACACACATCATCATCATGTGCAATAAAAATATATCATGTATACTAACAACACAAGCAACAATTCAAATTGTTACAAAACAAATGACATATTACGGACCAATTATTCTTCTAATTGTGGGTATTATAGGTTGTTTATGTAATTTTCTAACATTTACATCACCAAAATTACGTCAAAATCCATGTGCATTTTATTTTCTTTGTTCATCTATATTTGAATTTCTTACAATTACTTTTGGACTTAGTACTCGTTTAGCTGCTGATTATTTAGGTAGTAATCTACAAAATACAAATCGAATTTATTGTAAAATTCGTGCTTATTTGGTTTCGGCAATACCATTAATTGCTACTTATTTTATATTATTAACAGCTATTGATCGATGTATGTCATCATCTATTCATATTCGTTTACGTTCATTTAGTCAAATGAAAATCGTTTATCGTTCAGTTATAATTACGATTCTAATTGGTCTATTATCTTGTTCACATATTCTTATTACCTATGATCTTCGACCAAAATGTGCTACTTTATATGGTGCTTATGCTATATTCGATGGTATGTTTGTCGTATTTTGGCTTGGTTTTATTCCTCATATATTAATGTTAATATTTGGTTTAATGACTTTAATACATATACGACAGATGAGACGAAGACGACCACAACTAAAAATAATTACACCTATCGAACCAAAACGACCACGAAATGATACTAAAACAGATACACAATTGATTTTAGTAAATAAACTAATATGAAATAAATGAAAATTTTATTTTGTCTTTTTTTAGATGATGTTAGTTCAAGTTGGTTTGAGTTCATTATTAACTTTAACACGAATGATTTATTATGCATATTATATACTTGGACCATCGTTAACTGGTTATAATAAAATGATTGGATCATTTTTAATGTCATTTACTACACTTCTTTATTATACGAATTATGCGAAATCATTTTATATCTATACATTATCAAGTCAATTATTTCGATCAGTTTTTTTACAAAGACTTAAAGAATATGGTCAGAAAATTTTCAATTTAAATCCATTAGTATTGAAAAATGTTGCAACAAGTCAAACTCGATAAATGATTTTCTTGTAAATATAAATCAACAAATTTAATCGATTGTTTTTTATATTCTAATAAAATTTAATTAAAACTTTGAAAATTTCTGCAGATTTATAGTTTTGTATTTAGGAATATTTTATTCGAAATAAATAGGAATTGAATTCACATTAGGATTAGTATGGTGGAAGCAATAAATTGATCATACATTTATTTTAATGACCTTACTTTTATGTAAGGTCAGATTCCCTTTAGTTCTGATCTCGATCTCTCGAGTTCTTAAATAGGGAACATAACGTTACTCTGAGGTACATGTGTTTCATAATTAGATTTTGTAGTTTAATAAGAATTGACATGTTATATAAAAACTTTGATATTAGCATCCGTATCCATCTTATTACGTATTTTGATTCAAGAGAAAAAGATAGACTTTCGAAATGAGGAAGTGTTGAATACTTTTCAAGAAGGCATCATAATAAAATATATTTCAGACTTGATCGTAAAAAGTTATTCTTACGTATTGATTACGCATCATTCATTCCTCACTTCGCAGAAACTGTTTGTTAATCGAAATTAAGCTAATTCTACCTTAAATAATAAGAGCAGATGATAAAGTTCTTATACGAAAAATAGTGACAAATAGTAATTAATTATAGTTATGACAAAAATGACAGGTACAATGAAGTGAGAATTTGAAGTATATATTCAAAATATATTGAACAGTATAACGCAGATATATACATGTATGTATGTTATGTGTGTCATTTCTTCTCTTTTTTTTATAATAAAATTGAAATACAAAGAGGTAGGTAATGAACAAAAAGAGTGAAAAGTATGAGGTGGAAGAGACTGGTTGTATAACCAACTAAAAATAACAATGATCGATATCCAGTATGATTCACTTTTGATTAACACACGGATGAATCTACAAAAAAGATGAAAGTGCAAATAAACCCTTATCTTTGATTATAATCACTCTATTGAGCAAAATTGCTACTTAGATTTTTATTTAAATTTCGTTTTTTTACTCATATTCATAAAGACATTAAGTCTATTTTTTACTATAGTAGACAAAAAAAACGGCTTATGAATACGCCTATTCATACTTTCAAATGTCTGAATCAAAAAAGAAATATACTCGTTCAATTAAATAGTAGTATATGCGCATTTTTTGCTATTCCTTCACTTATACAAACATTCTTTGCTTTATACAGACCTATGTAACTATACATTAATGTCATGCATAACGATATAACCGAGAAGAAAAAATTAAATTGCAGAATACGACAGTTTCTTATGCAATTGCTTTTAAATTATACTCTATATACATATTCATACTGGCATAACAGATGAATGGATTCGAGAGACAGTGAAACGGACAGTAAAAATTCCGAACAATCATCATCATCATCATCATCGTCATCAACATTAACGAATAAAACATCCTGGTGGAAAAGATATCAATGGCATATGCGACATTATTTTTATATTCATATATTTATATTTATTTCCATGGGTCTTCTAGGTGGTTTAACAGTTGTTATTATAGAGAATTATTTAAAACCAAATCGACTTATGCATGTTCGTTATATTGATGCTTGGTTTATTGCATCATCATGTGTTTATGGTTGTGGTTTAAGTACACTAGATTTTGCTCGTCTATCAACATATTCTCAAGTTATTCTAATGCTTTTTACGTTAGCTTGTGGAATGACAATTAGTACATTACCAGCATTAATTGTAAAAGCACAAACACATAAACATGAACGTGGTTTAATGGTTGATAATGATCATTTAGCGTATCATACTCGATCGGAAACAACTAAGAAAATTGAATATTCATATGAAGCTGAAGTTAAAATTGCTCGTCTACCTAATGCTGAACAACTTCGCTATCGAGCATATCTTTGTTGTTTAGCGTTAATACCATTAACATGTATTACTATTTATCTAGCTGCTTTTGCATTTATTGGTTCTTGGATAAAACTTCGTTATCGACCAAATCAATTAAAACAAGATGGTCGACCAGTAAATCCATGGTATGCATCTTTTATTATTACCGTCACAGGTTTTAATCAAAATGGATTAACACCATGGTCAGATAATCTGATGAGATTTGTTGATGATACTATACTTTGTATATTCGTCATGTTAGTAAGTACTTTTTTTTCTTGAAAAATTATTTTATGGACTGATTTCAATAATTGTATTGTAGTTAATTATGAGTGGTAATGCATTTTTTCCATTTATTTTTCGAAATGTTATAATGTTAATTCGACGATTAGTTTCTTGGCATCATAAAATTATTTTTGATTATATATCTTTAAATAATCATCGTTTATCTACTGTTTTATATCCAACTATTCAAACACGTATATATCTTACTGTTACATTTTGTCTTTATGCACTTGGTATTATTGTATCTATGATACTTGATTATCATTCTCAAAGTTTTATTCACTATTCTGCCGGACAACGTATATTAATATTTGTATTTCATACAATTTCATCTCGTTTTGCTGGTTTTCAAACTATTGATATCACATTACTTGCTGAAGGAACTCTTGTTATTTATTTACTTTTAATGGCTGTTAAACCACAAATGTTATGTGCATTAGATAAAACTCCATTTGAATTAGAATGGGAAACAATACGTGATAAAGAAACGATATATATAGAAGCTACACGAAGACAATCAACAGAATTAATTGATGACTCATCATCAATTGAATCTCATGTTTTGCCTATTCGATATTTACATCGAATATTAAGAAGTCATAGTTTAGATGCTCGACGTCGTGCTCAACAACATTTTGCATCATTAGCAAGTTTACATCGTAGTCCAAGTTTAACACGAAAAAAAGCTAAATATAAATTACATCTTCTTATGTTTCTTATTGCACGTCGAATGTTATCACATTTATTTACATTCTTAACACGTACACGTACATGGTTATTTATATTTATATTTCTTATTTGTACATTTGAATCTTATCATATGACACCTATTGATGAAAATGTAACAGTTTTTAAAATTCTTTTCGAAGTAGTTTCAGCATTTGGTGCAGTTGGTTTAACAACAGGTTATCCAAATTTAAAATCATCATTTGCTACTGTTCTATCCGTTCCATCGAAAATTATTCTTGTTTTGACAATGTTAATGGGAAGACATCGAGGTTTACTTGATTCAATGAAAGATCAAGAAAAAATTGAATATAGTGCATATACTTTATTAGAACGATGGAAACGTAAAGCTCGAGATGAACATCCACTTTTATCATCGAATGATTCAATACCATCATCACCATCATCACCACCTCCTCCAGCAGTTAAACCAAGAACTTTTTCAACTAATCGACCAAGTCGATCAAGATATATTATTGAACTATCAAAACCAAATATACCACCAAGAACTAAACCTGCTGTATATTAAAATCTGATTAATTTAGTATTTCGTTTTCTAGTGAATTATATTTATTTATTAGATAGAAATGTTTATCAGAATGATTAACATTTATTTATATCTTTTGATATTAGATAAAAATGTAATTATGTATACAATCGTATATAAAATAAGAAATTAAATTATCAAGTTTTTAACAAAGTTGCGTATAGAAACACTATCGAGAAAAACGTCATATGACATCGTTATATTTATCCCAAGTGATAAGAATGAAGTCGATGCTCCTTAATTATTCATACGGTAAATTCGAATTGTAAATTTTTTTTTGTTGTTGAAATCTATTCAAGATAAACTAAATAATCATTCATCACAACACTTCATTCTATTCTATGTACAAGGTTGATAGAATAACAAAATTTTATAGACGGTGGTGGTTTTAACTAACCCTTCGTCTTCTTTGCATGGAAATTTTATTATTTTTTAAACTTTTTCATTCGTATCGAAAAACTTGCATTTGCCAATGATTATAGAATATTATGACAACTAGCTTCGATCTATAGTATCAAGAAGTAAACCGAATGTTTCCTTTTTGACTAATTTATGATAATCGAATTGGTTCATTTTAAAATATATATTATCAATCACCAGTATATGCATCAGTTTTATTCAAAAAAAAAGAAAAAGCAAATCAAAAAACTTAAATCCATCGTTTAGCTTTATACCACGAAATCATACCAAGTAGTATACCACCTATAAGACTAAGTACTATATAATATCCATACTTATACTGAAGTGTTGGTTCTACTTGAAAATTTGTAGAATTGATTGCAGTTAATAATACACATGGCATAAAAAGAACAGATATCAACATGAGAAATTTAAGTGTTTCTTGTGTTTCATTATTATTTAAAGTAAGCCAAAATGATATAAGCATTGCAACACTTTCACGTTGAATTTCTAATGCATCAATTAATTGATTGATATTATCATTTAAATCACTTAAATAAATATAAACATATTCATTGAAAAATAGAGATGTTCTTGGAGATTTTTTTGGAGGATGATCTGTTGTAGTAATTTGTGTATTTAATGAAGGATCCGTTGTTTGTGATGTTTGTCGAAAAAATTTAACTTGTCGTCGAATAAGACGATGTTTTAAATCAAGTCGACGTAATGCATCTGCACGTAGAGATATAAATTTTTCATCTTGTGTTGTTCGTTGTAAACGACAAATAATTTCTTTTAATGGATTAAATAAAATTCTTAAATGAAGTAGATCATGTTTTATACGATAAATTGAATGTAATGTTTCCATTGTTCGTGATTCTTTATCTGCCATAAGTTCTTCATCAAATTGATCCAAGCATCTAGCTACTTCTTCTAAGACAATCATATATCTAAATATTTAGTAAATGATAGTATTTAAAGTCATGATGAACTAGATGATTTAGAGATTAAATATAAAACATGTCCGATAAAAGATTGATTATCATAAGAAGAAAAATGAAAATATTAGTCTTAATAGCTCTTAGTAGAGTCTGTTAGAGTCACATAGATATTTTATAAGCATTTATAGATATCAATAATTGAATACTTGTGTTTTATATATAAACAAAATCATTTATTAGCGATGTAACGGAGTATGAGTATACCGTAGAAAAACTGTTCTAACAACTGCATGGTTTTGCGACCTGATGGAGTCTCTGCGAGACTTGTTTTTATAGGGAGAATTTTTGTCGTCGGATTTTGCTGAAAATTTTATCATAGATGTGACCCGGATTCTAGAATCTACCCTCAAAATTTTATATTTTTTTTTCTCGTATGATTCGACCGATATTGACTGATTAGTTAATTCATTTTAATTAAGTAACAGCTGATAGTGTCAACATTTTTACATATGTCTATGTTAAAAGAATTTATCGACGACGAATATCCTTGTAAAAAATTAAAGTGAAACGAAAGTAGTAAATGTTCTGTTTTGCGTGATTTTACCCATATGTTTATGAGCGTCGTCTATTCAATACGCATTAACGTATAAGTATAGGTTAATGTAAGTAGGTGAATATCATGATCAATCATTAACCTCTGACAAACACATGTTTTCATATGTTCATCCTCACATCTTCAAGATGGTCCAATCACAAGTAGACATACTCTCTTCTTTTTACCGATCCTATTTTTTATTAATGCTCAGTTTACGAAATATACTTTTATCGGAGTGAGTCTATCTATAACAGTTAATGCTATTAGTTTATATTTTCTTTTCTCATACAGTCAGTATAAAACACTATGTTAACTGAAGGAAACTAATTTGATATGCATACCTGTCAATAATAGCATTCCATAAACAATAAAAAAGATAATCAATAGTCATTTGTTTCAGTCGACTATTTGGATAAAGTGATTGATCACCAGTATAATTTCTTTGTCGTCGAAAACGATTTCTAATATCATCAAAAAGTTCTTCAAAACCACTATTTTTTTCTTGAAATGTAATTAATAGATTTTTTGAACGTTTTAAATAAAATGATATTTGATGTTGTTCAACACGTTGAGTATTCCATGATATAATTTTCATTAGAAGATAAACAGCTGATTGTTCATTAAATAAATCTAATTTCATATATGGTGCTAATGTTGATATATCTTCAATTGTTAATGGATGAATATCAAAATGTTCACAAAATAGTTCCATATTTCTTGGTAAATTCATCGAACCTCGATTAATAACTTCAATCCAACAAGATTTCTGATTTTCATTTTCCTCATCCAATAGATGAAAAACATCCCAAATAGATTTAAAATGTCTTTCTTCAAATGATTGTTCATCATATAAATGAACAATAAAATCTACTAGATCAGTTGCTAATCCGACTGAAAGGCGTCGACGTACTAAATCAACATCATTCAAAGGCATCCTCTCTTTTTAATATACTTATTAAAAAAAAAGAAAGTTACACGTGTCAATAGAAAAACATATATATAGCCACGGATGAATAACCTTCGTTCGTTTTCTTATTTCATGACTTGCTAATATAAATAAAGGCGTGATTGCGATCAGTAATAAAATATTTTATAATAGGGCAATGGGTAAATCTATTTTTTTAATGATAATACGTTGTTATTTAATAATGCATGATTCTTTAATTTAATTTGTACATAGAAAATAAAGTCGATGAGAAAAGAGAAATTGTTTTTTTGTCATTGATGACTATATATTACAGTGCATAATTCGTCTATTGATCTTCCTATGATAAGACATATCAGATAGAGATGATTGTTTGAAAATGTTATTTATAGATAGATGTCATCGTTCTCGAAATCTCTTAGTTAATATGAAACGTTTCTTATAAAAAGCTATCAAATAAAAGTGTTAATTTAACTAATATATATATCGAAAATATCTACGAAAACATCGTTTTACTTATTACAGAATTTATCAAGAGAAAGTGAACTCAAAGATCTATCGAATCTGTTTTTGCATAATTACCTTTCTATCTCGATGTTTAATATTCATGAAAATACTCTACCGATTTATCTAGTTCTTCCATTCTTTGATGTTCTTGATAGATAGTCTCGCATAGACTTTATTTACGTATATATCAAGAAGTTTCATAGTAGACAGGCTCTAGCTAGAAGCAAAAACTAATTATAATATTACTATATCAAGACTATTGCTGATAGATATGTCGAGTCTGCTAGTCATCGATATCAGTAAGTATCGATCAAATTCTGATGGGAAAAAAGAACCTTCATTTTAAGTATTAGTTGTACAATTTCAATCTAGTGTCTTAATAATTTGAATCTATTCGAATTTCATCACAATTGATAGAAACTATTCATATTGAATATAATATTGTCGAAGTTTTCCAATAGACTATTTTAATTGCCTATAAGGAATTGATTTCTTTTTTTTGTGTCTACATATTTCCTAGACATCATTTACATAGTTCATACAAATTACATTACAGTTCTTTATCTGACATTCTATCTAATTTTTTTATTGAAAAAAAAGCAAACTATCAATACATTTTTTTTCTCATTGTCATTGTATTCCTTTTTTTGGTGGCGTGTGTATATCACCTTGCAATATAATTATTGTCTATCTATATGAAATGTAGAATAACGTTTTATTTCAGTCATTTACTTCGTTTGTCGTACCATATAGGAAAAAACTTTTCTGTACAGAGAAAAAACCTAGATTTTTTCAATCCATTTTGGTCAGTTTCTTTTTTTGTTACTTGAGTATTTTCGTATATAAAACTAGGAGAAAAGATTATCATCTATTTCTTTTTCTTTTTCTTTCTCTTTCTCGCCATTACTTTTTTTCTTCTTCTTCTTTGTGTATCATCGTCATTTTATAAATTCATTTCTGTTCGCAAAAACAGAGACAAATATACAGACATATCAAATCTTGTTGTATTTTGATACATATTATTAATGCTTTCATTTTTCTATCCATTCATTGTATCAAACATTAACACAACATTAACTGGTTTTTTTTTACATAGCAATAATATATATATACATTAGATCATCGTCTTCTTAACTTTTATCATGTAAGTATATGTGTTATGATTGATATATATATATGTCTGTTAAGTTTATTTTCGTCTAGATTAATCGACTATGCCAAATTGGAAAATACATTGTTTGAAAAGTTCGAATGAAACAAATTCATCAGAAGTAACAGGTAAATATTTTTGATTAAAGCGAAAGATATTTAACGTAAAAAAAAATGATCATGTTAGTAGTAGACATAACTTAATCGATCATCGATCTTGTTTATGTCTGATCAAACGATCGATTAACCTTATCACTAAATGACTAAATGTCGATGATTTTCAAAGAATATTCTTTTTTTGATTGATTGCGTATTAAAAAATATCTGTATGTTCCGTTTTGTTTGTAGATTCGTCGATTACATCAACAACGGCTGCTGATATTCATAATATACCTTTATCAAAAAATCATCATTCACCTATTTGTAAGATACCTTTTTTCTTTTTATATCACAATTGAAATCTGAAAGATATTTTTGATGATATAATCGTGTATAAATGAATGAATAATAGCTCAGATTGATATACAAGATAAGAAATATTCATTAAATTAGTTTGCTTTACAACCTTTCAGCATATTGCCTTTTTATCAGCTCGCATAAGAAAATAGAATGTATATATATCACCCTTTTCACTCTCTCCGATATGTCGTCTGTGTTAATAAGTTCATAAGCGGTGATTTATTTTTGGTCATATATAGTCGTCTTTTTTTGTATGTTCTATAAATAGATTATTAGAACAAAATACAAGTTAATGTATGATGATAGTACCGACACATATGTCGGTAGTTGGGGTTCTAAGGGTAATACTAACCTTGCAGTAAATATGATGAATGATATGAATGCTTTTATTCATATTTATTGATTGTTGTACAACATGATCTTTGTTAGTATATATATATACATAACTTATTACTTGGGATCAAAGAATAGAAAAAAGTGATGAGTTGGAATTATCGTTTATTAACACTTGAGCGACTATCATCACTACCTAGAAAAAATTCTTCTCGTTTATCATCATTTCTTTGCTTACGTATCTGTATTTCTTCTAAACGATATATTGTTGTCATTAATTATAACGAAAATACAAATCTTAATACTTCTAATCATTTCGGTAAGTCTATCAATCTTCTACACTTAAAGATATCATTGAAAAAATAGAATGAGGTTGAATAGATTAGAGTAAACAAATAGAATAAAGGCTTTTTTATGATCACAGACAATAGCCAATCTTTCAATACTATATATATATGTATTGATATTTTTTATGATGATAGTAGACAAGTGTCAGTAGAGTTATCAAGTGAAATGATCTGTCGATAATAAGGCATAACTTCTTCAGACACAATTTGCCTATAAATAAAAAGCGTTGAAAGATACAGAATTGTATTCATGGTCAGAATTTTATTCGTAACTAAGTAATTCAATTTGTGTCTATGGGGGGTAATTTTCGACTGATTTTTATGTATAGAGAAAAGAACTAAACAATTCGTTACAATCAGCTTCTGTTACTTTTCTATTTCACAATATACATATATATCTATATATGACCAAGAGACACTTGTCATTGTGATTTATAACAACGATATAAATGTTCTTGTTAGTCCCAATTAGTTACAAACACAAGATGCAATCAATGTCTTGATCACTATGTCGATGATCAATCATGATTGTAGAAGGACTGTCATATCAAGTGATAAAAAAAAACGAAGCGTATACATCGGCTTCCTTCCTTTTTCTGTATTCTTTCCTCTTCTCTTTCTTTCTTTCTTTTTTTTTTTCATCCATTCACACCTATATACATACTGAAAAATGGAGATTGTGTTGACAATGACCTTTACTACGCCTTCTATTTTTTCTTCGTTGTGCTCAGTGAACATAGATATTGATCAATTGATCAGTGTCAAACACAATATGAATATTTTCATTTCTCTTATTATCATTTCGTATATCAAATGGTACTTAATTTGAAAATGTTTTGCGGTTCGACAAGAAAATCAAAAAAGAAATTTGATTTAGAAACTAAATGTAGAACAACAGATTGGATTTATAAGAGTAAGTTAATTAATTATTATGAATTTCAAAATAGAGATTGAGATATCCTTGAGTAAATTGATATTTCTAAAGATATATCTTCTAATTACATTAGAAACGAAAGTCAATTTGGGATAAAATCTTTCGAGATAATTAATGTTAAAGTTACATTTTTTTTCCTAGAGATTTTGAAATCATCTATATGATAATATGAGAAAGTATTTGACCTTTAGGATAATCATAAGATGAATAATTCAGATTTTTTTTCTCTCGATAGATTAATTAACATAATAAATAGAGAAAGACATGATGATGAACAAAAAGAAAAGTAAAACACCTTGACAAGGTTTAATACTTCTACAAGCGATTGATCATTGCACAATGTAATGACTTTACTTTGTATGCTTATATATGTACATGCATATGCAATATACTCGAAAGATCAACTTTTTTCTTCTCTCTCTTCGTTTGCATGCCGTTGCATATGTACAAACACAATTTGATGTATGTGTTTGGATACTGATGGTAATACTCGATAATATAGTACATTGCAGAACGGCATAGCATGTCAAGCGAATAGGGAACAGGGTGTTATCGAACATAGTTGTATATATACATGTATGCGCAACCAGAGAGAGAGTTCAAAGACAATCGAGAGAGAGAGAGAAAGAAAAATACATGAGTAAAAGAAAACACTCGATGCCAATATAGAAAGACAAGAGAAGAGAAAAGCGAGAGCGTGAAGTGACACTTGTTCTCTTCTTTGTCATATAACCATGAATTGAGCCCGCCTCCTACCATTCATTGTATTGCACCTTTATAAATACTCAAACTAAAGAAGTACGGGATGAGCTGTGAAAGTAGTGGCACGATACATGATATAAAACGAGCTATATCAATGTGTAAATGGGCTGCACCTAGCCCTGCACCCATATTACGCGGTATATAAAAAATTTTTATATATATTTATTATATATTATAATTATGATTATTATTTAGCTGTTAAAGGTCAAACGACAATTGAATTAGCAAAAAAAGAAGGTTCACCACTTGGTTTAACAATATCCGGTGGTATTGATAAAGATGGTAAACCACGAGTAGCACAACTTAAACCAGGTTCATTAGCACAAAAATCTGATGTATTAGAAACTGGTGATATTATAACAGGAATAAATAGTACGAAAACTGCTGGTCTTCGACATGAACAAATTATTGATTTAATAAAACAAGCAGGAGATCAATTAACATTAGAACTTGAATATGATTTACCTAAATGGCGTATGTCAACAAAACAAAAACAAATTATTATTATATTTCTTTATTTTTAGCTTTACATGCAAGTAATACAGTACAAACAAAAACGATTCAAATTCAATTAGAAAAAGAAAATCAAAGTTATGGTTTTATTTTACGTGGTGGAAATTCTGATGATAAAACTCGAACACGACCACTTATTATTACAAAGATAAGACCACAGGGACCAGCTGATAAGTAAATACATTTGTCTGACATATTTAATAAATAAACTATGTTGTAATTGTTTATAGAGAAGGAACACTTAAAATTGGTGATCGAGTTTTAGCTATTAATGGAATTAATGTTAGTGGAGCAACACTTGAAGATGCTAATAATATTATGAGACAATGTCGTGGTACAACTCTATTTCTTATTGAATATGATGTTGCTATTGTTGGTAAGAGATTTATTATAATGTTTAATGAAATAGAAAAAGATTAAACTTATTTTAACATGAATACATTTTCTAATGAAATCATAGAATTCAATTAAAAATTTAAATGTCAAGATATTTTAATGAAGATTGATTCGTTTTTTTTGTTTTTAATCAATTATGAGTTTTTCTAACAATTCGTTCATTTCTGTTGATTAGTAAATATCGAATACAACCAGGTATTGCCTTGTACTTGAATATGTAATTAGCTAACTCCATCAGTTCTGATAATTTGACTTTAATGAGCTCCATTTTTACATGTAAATATCAATTATAAATTAATTATTGAAAAAATACATAATAAATAAATGAAAAGAAAAATAACTATCATAATTGGCAAGTTGAAAGATTCTTATAAATTCAAATCATTTTTTATATAGATAGTGTTAAACATGCAACCGGTCCACTTTTAATTGAAATTGAAAAATCACTTGGATCAACAATTGGTATTAATTTAACACAAAAATGGATTCGAAATAATCGTTCAGTTATTGTTATTGATAATGTTAAACCAGCAAGTATTGCCGATCGGTAAGGATTTATTTTTGAAAAACAAAATTTGTTTATATTATAAATACTTAGATGTGGAGCACTTCATAGTGGTGATCAAGTAAATGCTGTTGATCAAAAACCGTTTGATGGCATATCATTAATGGAAGCGAATGCTATTGTTCGAGCATGTACAGGAGATTTTTGTCATATTGAAGTAACACCTGCTAGTGCTTTAGCTGCACAACATATGATAGTTGAAACGACACAAAATCGAGGTTATTATTTTTGTTTTAATGAAAAAAAAATATTGATCTTTTTTTTGTAGGTACAATAAATAATAATGATAGTAATCATCAATCATATTATCGTCCAGCAGTACAAATAAATAGTTCAACAATGAAAAATAATCATCAAAATATACCTCGAAAATTGAATAATAAAACACGGCATAATTCAATTAGTAAGATAAATATGTTTCCTTTTATTAGAAAATACAAAAAAAAAAGAAAATCATTTGAGTTCAGTTTGTATATAAAGATTTATATAAAAAAAACACTTATCTATAGGTTATAATTCATTGAATCATTTATCCAATAAATCATCTTTATCGATTATAAAAATCTATAATCTTTGTCAATTAGGTAAAAATTCCTCACTACAATTATATATATATTTATCAAGTTTGCTCTTTTATTCGTATGTTTTTTTTCACTTTTGAATGACAGAGGATTATTTATTCTTCACATAATTATGTATTCATTATATACCCATAATGATTTATCTATATATTCTTTATAGGTTCACTTAATTCATGTTATCAAACACTTTTAAATAATCAAATGTGTCATACAGAAACTATGGAATGTACACTTCAACTTGATTCAACATCAACAAATAGAAGTTCAGTAGATGATGAAACTATTGGAAGTTTTGGTTTTACAATTCAAAATGGTTCGTTTACAACCGATATACTTTTACAACCACCTATTATTGGATATTTGGCACCTGGTGGTATTGCTGAAAGGTATTGAAAATAAAGCAAAAGTACTATAAGTAGAATTTGAACATTAATGATCGAGCAGTAAGGCGTAGAATAAATGTGTGCTTTGATTTCGTTATACTTAATTACTCGTTAGAAAAAGTGGTAATAATTAGACATAACCCAAACTGTTTGAGTTCGGTGAGTTTGGGTTAGGGTATATGAGTTTGAGTTTGGGTTCGAGTTTGAGTATTGAGCTTGGGTTTAATACCCAAACCCCAAACTGTTTGGGTTTGTGCTTTTTAATCTGTAGAAAACACTATTTTCGATATATTGATGGCAATTAAAAGAAGATCCAAACCCAAACTCGAGCCCAGACTAATTGGTAGTTTTGGTACCAAACTCAAACTCAATACCCAAGCCCAAACTCCCAAACAGTTTGAATTTGAGTTTGGGTCATGTCTAGTAATAATGAAATACCAATATTACAATTACGAAAGCCTATAAAGTTTTATACATCTTTTTTATTTATTTAGATCTGGTACTCTTCAATTAGGTGATCGTATTCTTAGTATAAATGGGCAACCATTAGAAGGTATGTTATTAGAAGATGCTCGATCATTAATTAAAGGAACAAAACAACAATTGCATCTGGATATTGAATTTGATGTTGCTGGTATGTTAGAATATTTGACCTTATTTTATTTATTTATAAATTAATTAGATTCTGTTATGCTGTCATCTGGTATATGTCAAGTAAAAATTCTACGAAAAAATCTTGATCTTGGTTTATCAGTAACTTGTATGTAATCTTATTTTTTTCTTTATTCAAATTTTTAATTTATTTTTGTATTTAAAAAAAAACAATCAAAAGATTCTCGAACTGAAGATGTTCCAATTATAAGTGATGTTAAACGAGGTAGTATAGCTTATCGTTGTGGAATGATTCAAGCTGGTGATCATCTATTATCTATTGATACACATTCATTACGTGGAAAAAATTTAAATGATATTCATTCATTATTAAAAACCTCGGATGATATTGTACGATTACGAATAAAAAAAGATGATATCTATTCGGAAGATAATCTCTGTGAAAATGTCGTAGTTTATAAAGTACAATTACTTCGACAAGGGTAAATAAAGAAAAAAAAATCGTTGACTTCAGTCATTATTGAAGTTAATAGAATCAGTCAGTTTTCTCACGACTATCAGATCAAATTAATTTTGATTAAACATAAATATCATTGAATTTGAATGACATACAACTGATTAAATCATCTTTTTGTTGTTTAGTGGTCCACTTGGATTAACAATATCAGGTAGTGAAGATGTATTTCAACCAATTGTTGTATCCGATTTATGTGAAGGTGGATTAGCTGATAGGTAAATTAAGATTTATTATTTTAAGAAATAAAAAATTAAATTATTCTTTAGAACAAATGCAATTCATATTGGTGATCGAATTTTAGCAATAAATGATGTTAGTCTACGTGGTAAAGGTCTTAATCAAGCAATTAAATTATTACAAACAAGTGGTGATGAAATAACATTAAAAATTTCTCGATTACTTCATCAACCACAAAGTTGAATACGAAAAAAAAATTTTTTTTATTTTTGTAAATTTTATTTTCTAGAAGATTACACACCATCAGTTGATTCAGCTATTGATTCTTGGAGTAGTTCATATACAGATAATAGACTTAGTGAAAATGGTGAAACAACAACAACAACAACAACAAAAGATATTGTTATTAATGAACATCAACATCAACATTATCAAGTACCTAATCCAAATACTAGTAAATTAAATAGGAAATAAATTTCTTTAAATTATGTGTTTTGTCGTATTGCAGGTCTAGGTGATTTTGTTCTTAAACATCGAACACATTTATTAGCAGCAGCAGCGAATAGTAATCGTTCAGTAGGTATTGCTCCACCTGCATCAAGTTATCGTACACCACCAACTAATGCACGAATACGAGAATCACAACGTCATCCTGAAAATGAACGTCCAACTTCATGTGGAATTAATGATAAAACAAATCGTGCAAGTATTTATGATGCGAAATATGATAATTATGCTCGACTTCGTTCAACAAATGATACATTAACATTAATACTTAAACGTGATAAACGTATATTAGATTTTGGTTTTTCAATATCTGATCGTCTTTATGGTACAGGAGTTTATGTAAATAAAATTCGACCAAACGGTCCAGCTGAATTAGAAGGAACATTAATACCATGCATGAGAATTTATAAAGTATGACTTTGTTTTTTTTTATAAAATTCAATTAGAAATATTTCTATAATTTTATTTAGGTAAATAATATCGATGTAACACGTATGGAATGTAATCAAGTTGTACCATTATTATCATCATCACCAGATGATTTAACACTAGTTGTTGGACGACGACCCGCACCAATGTTCGATGAAACAGATGAATTTTATGAAATGGATGAAAATGAAGATGAACATCGATCTTCTATGATTGCTGATGGATCCATAAATGATAATCGAAATTCAACTATTGATAATAATAATAATAATACCTATGCGATTATTTCACAATCAAAAACAAGCATTATATAAACAGAAAAAACAAATATCCTTCAGCATATTCATCTAGTCAATCAAGACATAAACCTATTCTCCTATTTGTACAGTTTTTTTTAAAAATACATATATATAAATATAGATTTTAAATTGTTTTATTATTTGATATATAAATCGGATCATAATTATTTAAAAAATGTTCATTTTCATAGGAATAGATTGTTTGCCATGTATATGTTCGTTGTTGAATTGGAATATTTTGTCGTTGTTGATCAATATATTGAAAAAGTAATGTATGAAAACATTGTTCACATACAAGTGCTAAACGTTGATTATCATATAATTGTTGATGATGATGATTTTCATTTGATAAATTTAATAAAAATGGAAAATGTTCGATTTCTAATAATTTTATTTCACAATCATTAAAATTTATTCGACAACGACATAAATAACATTGTGGTCGTGGACGACGATAAGTTTTACATTGATTTTTATATTGATCCATTAGATTATAATAACATAATGTACATACATCAATTTCTGTTGATGAAAGAAATTCAAATTGACTTTGCGATATGGTATAAAGTGTACCATGAGGTTTTAATGATAAACATAAATGACAAGAATTATATGAAGTTTGTTTTGATGAAGATATTAAAGATGTATAATCGGATAAAAAACGTGAACGAATTGTTGTTAAGAATGAATCTAATGACGATAATTCATCAGTTAAACGAAGATCAACAGGGCTAGAATGAAAAATTTATGTTATGTACGGTAATATTTTGGAAGGGAGTTCTAGCATTCACATTACAAGTAGATCTCCTGTCATAGATTTAGACATGTGAATCGAAATGTCCGATGGGTGCTACCCACTCGCTACATAAAACACGGAGAGTTTTTTTTAATATCTTAATGCTTTCTTTCATTAGTTAGAAAAATTATCGGTCACACTTTGATGTCTCAGACTGAAAGAAGTTCATAATTTCTGATGAATAATTCATTGACATTTTCAATAATAACATGAATTCAGTCGGTACAGTTTTTTTTAACAAAATTATTAACTTAAATTTTTCTTGAAAAAAATACTTACAAAGTCGATGTGGAGGCAGTCGTTTTACGTAATGGTGGAGGTGCTAATCTTGATGATTGTTGTATAGATTCATCAGTTTCAGGTATAGGTAATTTCGGAGTTGGTGATGACGATGTTACTTCTTTATCTACAATAAGAAAATTAGTATTTAATCATATTTTTATTTAATTTTACCTGATGACTGTTGTGGTTCATCTGTAGTGTTTAGTACTACTTTTGATGATAATTCATTATTAATATGACATGAACCAGTTGATCGAAAAAATCCTTTGAAAAAGAAATTATTTGAATGATGACTAAGTTCTCGTTGTTTATCAAGAAGTAAACCACATAGATGACAGGCTCGAATATGATGTGTATTGTCGTTGATTGGCGAAGCACCAGGTGCTGGTGGTAAATGACGTAGGAAACTATATCCATTCTTTTCAATTGATAACGATCGTGTTCGACCTAAATAACCACATAAATGGCATACTGTTCCATCAACAGATGCATTTATTGATGGTGGTGGTACAATCTGTGGACGAACAGGTGCAATTGATTTTCGAGCACGTTTCTATATAGAATAAATTTGAATTAATAAATAATAATAATAATAAAAATTCGTATCGATTTACTTGAATATTGCTCGTTATTGGCATTGTAATCTATACAGATATAGCTATGCTGTTCTTGTAAAAGATGTGGAACGACAAATGAACAACAATCAGTAGTAGCACATAGCTGTTGTTGTCGTCGTTGCCCCATCTGCCTTCCGTCACTCATTCGTACGTGCTTTTATATATCTATACATGCACACAACCGGCGATAGCTAGGCGGTTTTTTTTTGTAAGCGAACAAGTAAGAATATAAGAAAAAATGATGATTTTTTTCCTTCTCTTCTTCTTCTTCTTCTTCTTGTGTTCCAGCATGAGCAAGAAGAAATAACACCAGATGGGCACTATTTTTATTACTTTCTTTTTATTATATGTGTTGTGTTACATGCAACAGCTGGAAAAAAACTCTAACAATTACTATTCATTTTGTTATGAATTGTTATCACACTCTTATAAATAACTGAATAAAAGAAATATATAAAAATAATTTGACAGAAACTATTGAGAAAATATTCAATTTTTATACATTGATCTAAAAGCTTTATGTTAATATATATGAGAATTATAAAAAAAAATACTCAATTAGTTGATTACTTCATTAAACTGTATATGAATAAAGAAAATATCTAAGTTAATTATAACATACAGTGTTTCTATATCATTTTATACGAGAAAAATGTTTTGATAATAGCAATCTGTACAAAATAGTATGTTAATATGTATTACATACATATAATAGTCTTTTTCTACGAAACAATGCGAAAATTTTTCACGGGAATTCATAATAAGACATAGGTCAAATTTTTTCCTATTTAACAAAGTATGTATATCATGCATAGACTAAGTTGATAGAATGCATGTTTGTATTTCCTTACAAGAATTCTTTTACTCCAGTATTTCATAAATTTGATTATATATGTACGGTTAGCGATACTTAGGAATGCACATATAAATTCAAATATAATGAAATGGGATGCTCATACCACACCAATGAACTCTTTCTCTGATTCATGTTGCTTTATGCAAAGTACTGATGGAAATATTAATGTAAAAATATTTTTTTCCAAAGGAAATATTCATTGATATTAATAAAGAATGATATATATATATATCCAATTGTAAAAAATGTAATCAATTCTACGGATGACAATAGGTAATTTAATCAAAATTGAGATTTATTTTCTAAGACAATAAACATCTTATTTTTCCTCAATATCAAATTTCCGGTAGCAATGTTTACTTTTGATTAATAACCAGAAATTTTTGCTTTCTTCCGCAAAAAATTCAAATGAATGAATCAATCTATTTAAAGTTATCTATTAATCAAAATATATCATAAAAATGTTACTTGATAACAAAAAAACAATTGTTTAAAAATGATTTAGGAGAATAATATTTACGCAAGATGCAAATCATTTGTATTGTTGTCACATATTCAGGAAATCAAGAATGCGAGAAATAAACGAGAATGTCATAGCATATAAAAAAAATGGAAATGTGAAGAACGAATTCATTTCATAAGTCCTTCATCTCCAAGAATATACAACATCCTTCTTCATAAAGCTGGTTTGTTTTACATCAGTAGTATTCATTGATTGGAAAATATTATTGACGAGGAAGTAGTTCGTAGTTAAGGTTAAATAATTGTGCTAATAAATATCTTTTGGGTCATCTGGAGATGTTGTTTAGAGCAGATTCTTTTCCTTTTATTCGTTCTACTGAAGCCAAACAGAACTATGATTAACGAGTACTTGTACTTTTAGAATTTGTTGTATTCTCTTCCTACTTGAATATATCAAGTTGTATGAAAAATAATATAGCAAAAATTTCTTCTAGTTTTACGCCTATAATTATTTTACTTTTTCTCATAATAACACTCTTCTATATAAAAAAATTTACTGTTAACATAAAATATATTTCAGATTGCTTTCTATTTACATTTGTTGTAATAGAAAACTCGAGTTTTTAATTTATATATATATGCTTCAATATACATACTATATGTTACATTTATTTATTGAAAAAAATGATTGATGATATTATACATCTAGGGCAGCTATTTCAGTATGTTTTTTCCTTGTACTTCTTTTTATCTTAATAAAAATGTTTTTTTTATTAATATTAATAGATTGATTAACTCTAAATGATTTTATTTATAGATGTCTATTCAATAATATAGACAATATAATTGTGTATTAGAAAAATATTATTTTTTTTTCTCGCTAGATAATTTCTTCTACGTGCGTATGTAAGATTAAATCAAAAATAAATAAGTATGTTTGCCGTAAAATTAATATTAATTATTAGATTCAATTTATCGAAATAGAAATAGACGATAAAAATAAATTTTATAGATATCTCTGGAGAGAAAGATATGATTGATATTAAAAAAATATATATGAGTAAAAAAAATAGTTTTGTGCTATTAGTACGATGTGGCATCCTGTAGAGAAAATGGATGCAGATAGTATGCGCATATAATTGTGATAAGTGCAATTATTAGTTTTGTTTTTCTTGTTGTTATTATATACTTGTTTTTTGATCTTTAAATAGGATTTGTTTATAGCAGAAAATCGTTGTCTACCGAATGAAACTCAAATTGAATCATATCTGTTCGTCGTCTATTATAATAAATATAGACAGATGGTCATGACTCCTTTATTTATTTTATATTCATATTGCATGTTAAAACATCAATTAGTTTTATTATATATTTTTTTCTTCTTCTTTCTATAAAAATCTACAGTTGCATCGTCTTTTTCTCTATTTTCTCTTGAGTCGCTTCCTAAAGTTCCTATCGTTTTAATTGACTTTTATGATGATGATGATGTATCTACTTGAAGGTATAGTTAGTTTTTTTTTTAAATAGTTTTGCTATTTAAAAAGAATAATGAAAATTCTAAGTAGTTCTTTTAGAAGACGTTGACGAGTAGTAATAAAAAGCATAAACGGACGGTAATATAAATAACCTTTCGTGTTTGCTCCTGTTTACTTAAGCTTTGAATTCTATATTTCTTTTGACATTCAGATAAAATTCTTCCATTTGTGTTTTTCTCTATCGAGTAGTCACTAAATAATTTTTTTATTTTACCAGGGAAAAAGAAATGTTATGTTTTATTTTCCAGATGCTAATAGAAAATTATGTTTTCTTAACAAAAAACAGCGATAAAAAATAAATATTACTTTTTGTTTTCAGTTTCTTTTTATTATGTTTTTTTTCTTAGTATTATGAACCATTTACGATTGGAACTCGTGGAGCAACTTCCGCAAACAATTCTTGAACGACAATCACCCGTTTCAACCCATGATAATGATGCGTCTGCAACGGATGCAACGCTTAATGATCAACTAGCACAGTTACGTCGTCGAGCACCAACAAGACATTCAATCAAATCTTTAACAGGTCGAAAAGCATTATCAAAACAAAATTCAACAAATGAGGTAAATATATATACATAGAAAATTTTATAATCTTCTTGTGTCTTTGTTGATTATTGATTTTATATTCAATGAATAATATAACATAAGAAATATGTTATCAGTGATGCGCTTCTAATCGTTAATATTCAGTAGTTAAAGAAAATGTTCGTACTTGAATGACCGATGAGTTACTCGTAGATTGATGAATATAATTTTATTATTCTTCTCCGACTAAGAATATTCATAACATTGCCTTTATCTGTTCTATCTCTTGCTTTTTCCCTTAGCACGACCTGATGCAAACATTTTCTTTTTTCTTCTTTGCTCCGCAGTCGTCGTCGTCCGACCGCTACTTCGTACATGCCGAACTGTTAAGCTCCAGATTAAACATAGAGAGAAAAAAAATAGTTTATATAACGAGTATATAAATGAACAATCCAATTCATCAATAATAATATTATCGTAAGGAAATACAAGATTATGTTTGGTTTTAAACGTTCAAATAAAACTAAACGAAAATTAACAAAAACTCCAGCAATACAAACAAATGCATCAATTGAAAGTAAAATACTTTATAATGTTCCAAGTGTTTCACAAATAGCACCATTACCAGAAAATAAATCACATGGTATTTTACCAGTTTTAAGTCTTGATGGACGTAATTCATCAGATATAATACAATCGAATGATCAATTAGAAGTAAATACAGAAAAAAACGATCATTCAAATGGTCATCAACCGGTGGGTGAATAATTATCTTCTTTTTCTTATTCTATTTCCATTAATTATTTCTGTATACGTATATACCATCAAATCGACTATAGATATATATACATGTCGAGCTTCATATCGGATATAACCGGAGAAATCTTTATGCCAGTTTATTATCAATGAAGCTGGAAAAAAGATAACAGTCTACGACCGATATATTTATTTTCTGTTAGGAAATATATGTGATAATTACACTAGTTTTAGTATAATGCACTATTTTAGACTTAGAGAGTAGTTATTATATATTTTTTTTGAAGTATTCTTTAGATTCTTATTTCAACTAGATGAGTTTATTATAAAGAATTGTTTACATGTCAATTTGAAGTATATGTATATATAAATGACTCATATTTTCAACAATTATATAAGCAGAGTTAAATAAACTCTTCTTGGCATGAATATTGTCTATTCTTGTAGAATTTTTCATGTAAAGAACAGTTAGTAATTCGCAAAATCTCGAGAGATATCGTTTGAAATTTTTTGTTTTTCTCCATAAAAA